AAAACGATGTAACTGTCTGACTGTCTATGTATGAACTCAATATCAAAGGTACAAGGCTGCGGTCTCTCTAGGCAAGCCATATAAGTGGCCATTATATTTTTTAGCTATAAACTAAATTAACTGTATACGGAAGGCCACGCAATAAACAGAATTCTTTAAAGTATACAAATACGATATTAAAATTTACCAAATCTGTTGTAATATAATTGTTATATAATTTTAAAAATTTCTGTACTTGTTTGTTTAACACAAATCAGGTACGATAACAAGGATACGATAATGGTCAATTGTTCTTATGTATACATAAACTATATCAAAAACCACAGGGGACTATATCACTAATCGATTACTCTAATATTTATAATAGTTATTAGCTATACGCGTATGATTTAGACGATTACGCTTACACATAGTTTCAGACATGTATTTCACTTAACTACGATTGAATTTCAAATACGAGCTGAGTAAATTTTTTTTGGCATATACAAAAAAACACTGTTTATTATAAAGCAAAATGATGTGAACTCATCGTAACTAATATCGAGTACATACATCAGCACATCAGGTTATTGCAGAAAGTCAAATTATTGTGCAACCAAAATGGAAAAATTGATTGTAGAAACTTTAACTCGTTATCATAACCTGAACGCTTAGTGTAAGTTTTTTTGACGTTTACGTTCACTGTCGATCGTGAGCGCGTTAAGATTTTAGTATGGAATCCGGTACAGCGCCCTTAGCGATAACTACCAAGAACTACAAATCTCCATACAAATTCTTAATGCTCTCACTAGTGAACGCGTTAGCGTAAAACTTACACTTACCACTCTGACGTGCTGTCGACTGTACAATGTTAGTGCAATGATCATTGGATTATATATAACATGAGAATAATATTAAAATATTGGATGGTTAGCCAATACTGAGTTAAAATACCACGACATGCTGTGATATGTGCGAGTGTATATTCAAAACTACCCTACTGGACCCGATCTAAAGGACGAGTAGATGCACTATGATAAACCTCGATACAGAGACGACCCGCCTTAGGAGGGTCAGGACTTTTTTAATAAAAAAAAACTCGAAAATATATTTTTTTGAGATGCTAACCTAAGTTTATTATATTACTTTTTAGGAATAGCTTTAGTTAGTATTGAAAAAATATATATTTCGAGATTTTTTTTAATGAAATGAAGAGCATTTCTCGTGCGATTGATATGAGTATAAGGGGTGGCTTTATTATTTTTGCCCGGAGCTAGATCGGGCCCTAATGTCCTACATATACTCGATGAGTGTCGATAAGCTACTTCAGTGACTATAAATGCAATAATAAATGCGACTCTTAAATATTAAAAGCTAAATTTTAAAAACAAACACCTATAATCGTGACCAATTACAAGTACGGTGAGCATCAAATATCTGAAGGCAGAGAATGCATTGAAATATAAATTAGACAGCGGATTTATTCAAAATTCTACCTATTCCCAGTAATGAGCAAAATGTAATCAGATTAATTCTTGAATATTACATGTTTTAATAGTAATATTTAAGTTCAGTTACCTTTATTATATTTAATCAATGCTATACTGAAAAATAATCTTAATAAAAAAAATCTTGATGAGAATGCGCTCTGTAGTATCGAAAAAGTAACAGGCGCTTGAAAGATTCGTCTGTCCTGTTAGGTCCTGGGTAGTTCAGTGCTTAGAGCAGTCGCCTGAAGTGCGAAAGGTCATGGGTTCGAATCCCATCTCAGGGTACCAGAGACTAAGTGGTTTTTTAAGCATTTTTCATTTAGAATATTTTTCAGTTACTTTATAAACATTTGATTAATGATGATTCAATAAAGATTTAAGGATTCAGAATTAAGATTATTTATATTATCATAATTAATCTGATTACATGCTTCACGTCTTTATTTAACAAGTTATTTTGTTCTTGCTTAAATATCTGACAGTGCATAACTATTAAACGATTTAAAAGCGATGAAAATATAAAGTCTAACATATTTACTATCGAATGAATTCGTAATCAACGCATAGAACATGAGACATAAATGTAATTACAAACATCTGAAATTTATAATATTACATGCATAATGTCATATTTATTTTTTGTAATTAATAACAGAAGAAGTTTACCAATTACATTCAAGTCTAATTTACATATGATAGGTATATTATATAGATAGATTATATAGATAGGTATATTAGACAAAAAATAACGTGTGCGGACTAAGACATGCAATTTTGACCACTTTTATACACACCACTACCTAACTAAATTAATTCAGTTTCTTTTTTAATTAAAAACTAAATACATTAAATTATTACTACGACTCTAAGCGCCAATTTTTATTATCATACTATTCGAGTTAGCACACGACTTTAAATTCGATTCATACATTATTAAGTTCAACGGAAATTGACACTAGAATTTATATAGGAAAGGCTATATTGATATCATTAAAGAGGTCTACTACATTTACACTAATGTTGTAATGAATTGCCTTTTTAAGAACTTTGAAGACTCCATTCGACATTTTACGATAAATAATTCATGTAATTACACACTATAATATCAGTGTTTATACTTTGTACTTTTATTATATAACTCAGCAACGAAAGCTATGCGTATGAGTGTAAGAGTGCTCCGAAATTAAATCCTAGCTATTTCCAAAATGCAAAATCTTAGGTCAGTACATCCCTTATACTACAATTTTAATAATTTATAAATAAACCTACTTAACATTAACGTTTTATAATAATCATAGTACATAGTATGATTAACGCGAATAATCCAATTGATAATATTAATGTTATATTTGAAACATTCTCAGATTCCGCTTAAAGTTAGTTGGTATCATATATGTAGTAGTCCTCTTAAAAACAGCGATCCGTATTAAATTACAGAATTTTTAGAACAAAGTAAAGAGGTTTTCGTATAAAAATGTGGCATTATTACATAATGCACTCACTCTTTCGCTCCATTATCTTGCATGTAGCACCACATTATCGTAACTTATCGTTTTTTTTTTTAAATAAAATCCTATGTTACTTAGTATAAAATAAACAGTCGTTTGTGTAGACTAGTTTGGATATTGATAGGGAAAAGGAGCCCTAGCGCTTTAATATCAAAAGTTCAATTTTACATTAACAAAGATAAAAAAGATTGCAAAATTAACCTCAAATTCTATTACAGATTAAAATAATGGTTAGATAATCAAATTAAAATGACCATATAAAGAATGGAACACGGTAATTGAACTAAATTTCAATAAGACTAAATACAAACGCGATTAAACCATTTAAAAATTGTTTCCTTTATGAATAGAGCGCGTTAAAATATAAGAGATCAGTATACAAATAAATTCTTTAAGCGCTAGTGTCCATGAAAAATACGTCAAATGGATACCATTTTTATGAAAAGTTTCAATATTAAATACATCAATGACAATTAAAACAAATGTGTTATTTTACAACACGTTATTTTTATTTAATTCGAATAAATTAAAAATATGAAGTCTTATTTATCATTCGCACTTTCTCAGTCATTGGGTGATATGAGATCAAATTATATCATTTCTAAACTGCGTTCATGTTTCAGAAAACAAAAATAAATTTGTTTGGCACTATATATATGTCACGGCTTCACGTCAGGTTACAACAATATATATATCAAATTTCCGCAATGGATTTCGATGTCTACCCTCAACGTGTTAATGTTTGAAATCAAGTGAGCAAATTTGACAGTTTTGTAAAGTCTGACGTGACTGTACATAAAAAGGTAAGTTCTGTATTCGTGTTTACATTTTATTCTGCAGATCACAGGTTTAGAAACTCTGCCCTTGAACTAACTCTACGTGTTTCATAATAGGGATGACATCTGGGTAAAAAAAAAACTACTTAGGCCGTTGGTCAAATAATAAAAATTAAATAGACCCATTTTTTATATTAGTTATTAAATAGAATTATTAAACCATTAAATAGAGGTGACTTAGATGACAGGTATTAAAGTTGAGGAGGAGGTTCACTACGTCACAACTATGTAGAAAACCGACAAAGGTGTGACGTCATGTAATATGTCAATTCAATGTATCGCTGTAACTTATTGATAAAGTAATATTCAATGTTTTTTAATAATCTGCCTGATGAACCAAAACAGATTTTAGACATCATCCTTATAACAATATGTATTATATTAAGACATTACAAATATTGTGAAATTTATGGAGTAAATAACAGGGAGAAATGTGTTATAATTATTAACTACTGAATTTTCTCCGTAATTTTCTTTTTTGGATATTTTTATTTCTATTAAAAGTTATTTAAACTTAACTTTTCATCCGCTAACACATCTTCAAACACGAATCTAATACAAGCTAAAGGCCATTATCATCAGTCGTATAGATACTAAATATAACACAAACTTACTAAGATTTGATCGCAAATAATTTTCTAAGTAAACTAAACTAAATTCTAAGATATTGTAAAAGTGCTGTATAATTAATTATCTAGGCTTTAAAGTAACGCACATATTTATCAATAAATGAGGGCGTATTACAACAAGAAAAGCATGAATTTTAAGAGTTACCTTTGAGATTTTGTAATATTATGGAAATCTTATAAATTCTTATTTTGATTGTGACAGAATAATTACAAACGTTATTTCTTGATATAAAAAAACAGTTTGAAAGTTGTGCTTCTTGATGTACACGCCCTCTTAACGTAAAATGTCTAATTTCGGTGAAAACATAATCCATTATATATTAAATAATGCTTCTCAACAATAAATCATTGGGTTGAGCCAAAATTAATTTATGAATAAAATTGTATTAATAAGCTATATTTTTAATGCACCTCTAGTTCAGCGGCCGCTCGTCTTCAACTTCTACCGTCCGAAACAGTCAATATCTTTTCATTCTAGAAGTTATACATAGTATAATTTGGGTGCGGTCACTATGCTACTGGCCAGCACTCATAACGGCTGTGTATTAAGGGAGACTTGTGCGCTGAAGATATAAGAGTAACCTTAGTCTTTCGATGTACCACTAACCCTACATGTAAGGTCGGTTCAGACGTGTAGTTGCGGCGAGTGGTTCAGCGCGGTTGCGGCGCGTCAGGGGCGGCAGACGCGAGCCGTTGCCGCAAGCGGGCGAATTTGCCGTGAACTAGCCGCAGCTGAGCGCGCAGCCGCGACGACAGCTCCCGCTGCAACGCCTGCACCTCCACCAGCTCCCGCCGCAGCTGATTGTAGTCAGACCGCACCTGCACCGCCCACCCAGCATACACCACCGCGCCACTAACGTGCGCTAACACCACGCACACACGTGTGGCGCGCATGGGCCATTCCCACTACTGTATATTACTTTGTCTCTTACACATATTGGCAATAGTTTTCGCGAATAAGTTCGGCACTGTTTCTATTAACATATATTAATCTGATAAAAATGCTTTGGAATCGTCAGACGTTTTTACATATGTTTTAAACATCTATATAAACTTGTCATTTACAAATATTAAACAAACTGAATTGAAATGTAGATTTTTACAGATTATAGTCCTAGGTTCATTTCAAGTAATTAATCCATTTTACTAGTAAAAGTATTTTTCAAACATCAATAAAAACGTACATCTTACTGTCTATACTATAAAAATATATACTTTTAGGCACAAAACATCGTTTGTTTTGCTATCAAAATCTTGAAACTCTTCAGGAAACATATTCAAAACTCAATAGACTAATGTGTATCACTAGAAATTTATATTTTGTTAATCCAATATATATCTAATAGAAACAGTGAGAAATCAGTGTCAATATTTATAAAATTACTAAATAGCGGGAACGCCCACATCATGGAGCCAATTTTGTACTGTTGCAGACGAATCATCAACTTTTTAAGAAAAAGTTGATTGTAAATTCATTCGAAACTGTCAAAATCAGGTAACCTATATGTCAACATTTTTCCGTCATTCTACAATTCAAAATATTTATACTGTCCAGAAGTTTAAAACAGACGATGACAACATAATTTAGCTTTACATATCAACGGAAAAATATCGAAACAAGTGTTTAAGCTTTAAAGGATTCTGGCTCCTTCTAAGTCATATGACGCTTATATAACGAGATTTATAAGGCAGAATGTGAGGTAAATGTAGTAAGGTTCGGTGAATATCTGACGGATGATGCATCGCGTACTTCGCGTATCGTCGTCGATCAAGGAACATTATAAAACCTACTACGTTTCACTGAAAGCGAAATTGCTTATATTTACTAATTATTCAGATTTGCACCGACTCTTGCTCAGTTGATCGACTTATTCCGTGGACTATGAAAATACACAGCTGCGACTAGATCGGAGCTTTCGTGGTCGAAGCTGCCGAGTATTATTTTAAGAATACTTTATTAATAAAAATATATTTTAAGCATATATTATTTCTCAAGTCTTAAATACAAGTCGAACAACTGCTTTCTAAATTTTTAAGTAAAATAAAACAGCCAAGCGACAGAAAGCCATCACTCAAAACCGATCTCTACTGCAACAGACCTACGACACGTTTTCCAACGAGTTGCTGTCGATTGGCTGCGAACTGGCGTAGACACAAAAAACCGAAATATCTAATATGAAATGAATATGGCTGTCTGGTCGACCCATATGTAGAAGTATCGCGTGTGTGATATTAACTTGATAAATGTTTATAGAAAAACTTAAACTAAATCAAGAATTGAAGCAAGAATACTATACACACATAATTATATTTATTGTGAAATAATGAAAATGCACTGATGATTCCCAAGAAAATATGCTAACACTAGAGACGAGCACACATTTGACTAAAATATTAATTTAAAAGTTGCATGAGAATATTACATTACAGAATTTTGTCTCATACTCATAATACTGCCGTTTTTAATTTTTTTTTTTTGACAAACTCATGCTAAGTAAGTAAGTAGGTGCCGTCTTCCTAGAGTTAAAGTAATATATTACGAAAATTTTTAATTATATCAAATGACATTTCAGTATTGCAATTTTATACATCAAAATATTAAATTTTATATTTTTTATTTGTGGTTAGAACTTATTATCAAATTCTGCAGAATATTATATTATTTCTTTTAACATTTAACAACATCAAATGAAATAACATGTTTTGTAAATGCCATAAAATTCTTGGGAATTAAAAGTACATATAAAAATAATGAGATAATTTCGAGTATCGACAATCGCGACACTGGTGGCTCCTGTAGCGCACAGCTGAAGCCCTAGCAAGCCCCACTGGCCTGTCCAATAGGAGTTGGGGCGAGGCTTAACTTTGTACCACATTAAGGCCTCGTTAGCTAGTACCAACAAGCATGAAGTTTTATGGCTGGTCGTTAACATGATAACACAATTAGATACACTGATATTAAAATATAGAAACGTTTTGATAAAAAAACATTATTTGTATCAATAAGATTTAACCGCAGCTACACAGAGCAAGCAACCACATCATGTCACATTTCTGTGTATTCCTTTATACTTTCTATCTTTCACTTAGGAATTAAACTATTATATTATTAATTTTAAATACAAATCTTTAAATTCAAACATACATACAACAAATTGAAATTGGAATATTTTAGTATAATCTGTTATATTGGAGAGCCACTTTGTTTTCTTTTGAAATGGTGGCCAGTTAAAATATATTTCTGATTATTTGATAAGCATTCATAATGCTTTCAAATTTTTCTAATAATTATAAAAGAAAATCTTTTGGAGCAAAATTTTTTCTAATATAAAGTCAAAGTCAAAATAATCTTTATTCAAATAGACTTCTTAAAAGTACTTTTAAATCGTCCAACATTTATTTCCCTGCCACTGGTTCAGGACGTCTTTTGGCTGATAAGAAATTCTATCATAGTCATATTTTTACCAATCAATTGACAAAAAAAGACTGGACCGATAGAACATCTAACAAGAGCAACAACTTATTCCTAATACTTTGACCTAAGTGAAACCTATAGTATCCTCTACAACATCTCTTGGTCTCTTGGTGAAATGAAAAAACAACTACCAATACCAAAACTTTTCATTTAAGACAGTAAACTAAAATAGAAAAGATAGTTTCATTTCAAATCAAGTAAGTATGAAATGAAGCATTGAGTTAATTAGAAACGACAAGCCATAAGCCACATGAAACCTGAAATACTAATATCTGTCCTGACCTTTTGTCAACATAATATGCAACCCACTGAAAAATAAACATTCACATTTTCATTTCACAGTTGAATAATATATAATAATTAATATTTTATGTTTCCGATTTAATCATAAGTATACTCTTCACATTTCTTATCTATTTAAGTTCTTTAATTTTGTATTCACTGATCTTAAATATAATTCAAATTCATTAGAAAAACCTGCACTTATATAGATTTAAAAAATGGTATGTGTCACACAAACAATTCACTTATTGTTTACAACTCATCTAATTATTAAAATATAAAATTGTAATTAATTATATGTTTCATTGGTAACATGTTAATCTTAATTACAATTTATGCAATGTTTAACCATTATTACATTTATAAAATAATTAACTGGTTGTAATGTAATGACAATCAGTAAAATTACCTCAGATACAGATTTGAGTAGATTCATAACACACATATCTTGAGCGTCAACAGGAACTACCAGTTCTTTTTCTACATTCTCCATCTTCCATTCCATGAGGTTCAGTTGCTCATCTGTTTGTTTCACCTTATCAAGAAAAGTTTGATTCAAAAATAAATGAATACATAGTTCATAGTTTCTTCAATTAAAGAAATGTATGAGTCTGTGACTTCTTTAATTACAATAATGAAATATCCGGTTACCTTACGTTAGCACTGATTACTCATATAAATGTTCTTTTAAACTTACTAAAATAATAGCTTTGACCTTTTAGAAAGATAGATACTTTGTTTTTTTATTAGTTTCAGTGACCCATTAAACCTCAACATCAGTTGTTAACTAGTGAAATAAATTGCAGGGCTAACCTATGCGACTGGCAAAGCAATGATTAATTATTTATACAATAAATGTATACATTAGGCAGGAAGCGGCTCTGTGACCTAGTTTCTTAGTACTATATCGTTCAAATGAAAATGATTATCCTAAAGACATTTCATAAGGGTCACTTACAGTTTCCTCGAGGTCTTCCAGCGTTATTTCTTTTTCTGTCATCTTCACAAAACAATTTTGATATTTTCAGTAAAAAAACTAAAAACAAATAATGTTTATCAACGGCACCACCATTTCCGAATCCAATTTTAGACAATATGTGACATTTGTTTTTTTTTTAAATAAAAAAGGCATAGGGATTCAATTAAACAGCAAGCTTTAGATGGGATTTTTAAAATCATCATTTTTTTAGCTCTTCAATATATTTATAAAGTTCCATAAACTGTAGCCTTGTACAATTAGAATGATATGATACATAGATATGACCCATATTCATATTGAATATAATTGTAGATAGCTTTAACCTATACCTAGTTTCTAAGTTATTTTAAATCAGTACCATTGTAGAATAATCGCTATACTTTTGACATACTATATACTTAAATATATATGTAGATAGCTTTAACCTTATATACCTAGGTTCTAACAGTTACTTTAAATCAGTATCATTGTAGAATAAGCGCTATACTTTTGACATACTATATACTTTGGTGTCCCAAGGAAGAATTGGTTAATCATAACTACCGTTCAGTCTATCGAGTCATGTCATGTCTCTCTCACTACGGCATGTTGGCAAAATTACGTGTATTATATTATTATATATAGAAAAAGTCCATGTAAAAAAAAATACTGATGTATAATGATAACGGTTGATAATGAAATTAAATGATTTATTTGCAAATTATCCTCAGAAATTATCGAATGTAGTCTGAATTAACTGAGAAGACCCCAGTACTTATTTTTGAAAATATACTTACTTATTCGCTTTCAAGAAACTTACAGCCTTGTTTATTTAGGGTTTTCGCCACTGCTTAGATATAGCATGCTGTTCATATCATTTCAATGAGACTTTCAGTTAAAGTGAACGAGACAAAACACTGTATAACTACATAATGCTTACATATTACTTGTTGAGACACAAAGACCATTCTTTGAATTTTAAAATGTGACGAGATAAACTCTTCCTCGTAGAATCTTTTATTATTATCTTAGAAACACCAAAACTGAAACTAAGTTTTTTTTAGTTTCGCGCACTTCAAAACGTTATTTCGACGTCATATAGCTGGTACGAAATAAAAATATTCATCATAATTATATACATTTATTTTCTGTCTTTATACATTAAAGAAATTAGAGAACAGTGAGATGCGATATGAGCCGACTAGCACTCGCAGTGCCGTCGCCAATGATCCTATCACTTAATATCATATCCAGAATTACAATTTAACACATAAACGGACATTCCCACTATTAATATTACATCTATGATTACCCTACTTTAGTTTTTGTGAATATAAACACTGTATTAATGAAATATGTTTAAATAGGCAACTGCCCAGATTGTCCGCCAACTCCCATTTGCCCCCCAAGTCAGACTCTGATGTTTAGAACAAATTACCGACTTGCCCTCCTGCTGATCTGATGTTAACTAGATCCTCCTGATGTTAACTAGAGCAAATTATATATGTTTTGCATATTACTACTATTGTATGATTTTGGCCAATTTCTAATAAAAAGTTGGTAATAATTTCGATAACAGATTTATAATGTAAATAGTGAAAGTGTCCGCATATAACGAACTATATAACCCAAGTCTTTCTGGAGCAACCAATTATAATATCCACAAATTATTTAAGCTAATATTAAATTCTATCCTGTTGCACACTGCCTTAACGTAAACTCGCCTCTCTAAGGATAAGATAAGGGCAGGGGTTTTTTGATATAAGTAATTCAATTTAGACAGTATGCACAGTATGAAAGCATAATAATATTAAATATAAATAAATCCAGTGTCACAATTCAATCACTCTGTCTTTAGAAGTTGTTATGTAATATATTAAAAACGTTGTACATTATAAATATAGGTGGAAATAAACAGAACGGTAAGTTTATTTTAAAGGACTAGAGCTATTTTTCATTTTATATTAAGTAAAATAACAGTAGTTCTTATAGATAGTCTGCACGCCATTATCGTCGATGGAAATATTACTTGTATATGTTAAATTTAAGTACCATTACATTTCAGAAGAACAAGATGCCATATATTCATAATCAGCAGTATTTTTTATAAACGTTAAGAATTCAATGTTGTCGTTTATAACATTAAAATACGGACTTCTTTTGATTGAAAATGTTAGGGCGACTTTAAATTTGCATTGAAAATATGCTTTTTTGACAAAAGTGACCCACCAACGTGAATGTCATGAACACTCATCATGTCTCAATTATATGGCTTTATACAAAAATATTGGTGACTTATGATAATTATCACGTTCAGTCATGTCATATTCATTTTATACTAGATAAGCACTGACTTGCCACGATTAAGGTGTCAGTTACTGACCCCCCATGTAAACGGGGATTAAACATCAGTTAAATTCTTTTTGACTATACTGAAATTAAAAAAGAATGCAACTGATGACGAGAGTGTTTTCACTACATGGTTTTTATAACTAAAAGATCCATATTCTCTCTTTAATAACACTATGTTTTCATTTCATATTAGAATAGGGGTCAAAATTATTTTAATGTCAATAGAACACTATTAATAATTCAAAATACAAATGTAGTTAATAGCAGAATGTATACTCGATAAACTGTGCAGTACTAAAATTTGTTATACCTAGCTTTGGAAATTATCAACAGTTCATACTTAAGGAGACGCATGTTTGTACTGTGCCACAATTTTAATGGAGATAATCGGTGAAAGCTTATCACAGATGGCATCGTAGTACCTTCTGCTTTTGTATAGCCCAGTCCAATAAGCACGAAAACAGCCAATCGAACATAAAATGTATCATTAGACTTTGGCATCAAGTCAAACACACTATCCTACCTAATCCTTCTTAAAACCACGAAATGGCGTGAAGGAAACTATTTGTCGACTTAGTCTTTCTTTCATTTCGTGTTTTTGTCTTTTGGGATGAAGCTACGGCAGTACTATTTTGAAATTCTGAACAACTTGTAATGCACGTTGGAAAGTCTATGATTGATAGTAACATACGCCTTAACTTTGCAGACAGTTGGTATATTTAAGTCCATTTATTATTATAAGAACATGTGCTACGGTTGCTGAAAAACCTAACAGAAATAATTTTATTACATAACTCAATATTAAATAAAATAATTAGATATTTGTACAAAATTAAAATTCGATTGAATCGTATACTGTGTCATATGTAACGCTTTTCGCATAGGTGATTTATCACGATTGTATACAATGAGAATGTACCTCAGTATTCAGTGGAATCAAATAAAAAGTTAAACTGTTAACTAAATATGATCCGCTATTTTCTTCTAAACGCGATCTTAGATTTGAAATTGAATTGGACTATTCGTGTCTTTAATTTGATATCCATGTTAACGGAGTTAAATAATTTAGTATCCGCCATTTTGTGGCGGCGGCCATCTCAAATTTGCAATTACACTGACTACTCATTAACAGTCATTAGAACTAAACGTGTATATATTCAATGTATATAGTCAATAAATCATCAAAAACACTAGAGAACGTTAATAAAACCATTTAAAAATAATTCAGTCGGCCAGATATTCCCCAGCTGCTTTGAAACTGGTGGAAAAGTTAAATTAGCAGAAGTTGTGTGTGCACACCACAATTGATGACATATTATTTAACATATATTAAATGATAATTTAACATTTTTATTCTTTTAGATGGGCACATTCTCAATAGTACTTGCTGTAGGCACAAGTCATTTAGTGCCGCGAAAAAAAAAATAATTAAATAAAAAAATATTGTTTTATCACTAAATGACAATGGGGGCTGACATTGCAAAAACATAGAGGAAAGTAATATCAGATAAAACTTTGCTAAAGAGCATTAATTGAACAAATATATTGCAACAAAAATTTCCAATCTACTAAAATTTTGGGTTCATTGAATACACAGATGATTAATGTATTATTGACATTTCCAAACCATTGGATATTTTGGACATTCTGAACTGTTGGAATAATACTTTAGCAAATTGACAGTTTTTCGCTCCTCCTAAGAACAAGCTATAAATACAGCTTTAAATTTGATAACAACAAAATTTCAAATCAATTTCGAACTTAACACAATATTTATTATATATCAGAGAATTTATCAGTTTTAGATAAGCTGGTTTAATACATATTATATTAATACACATAAATTACCAAAATCACGGAACGACATATCAAATTGATCAATCAAAAAAATCAGACACCACGTCATATGACTAGCAATGTTAGACCCCATTATTTGAAATACGTATATGTAAAAATATATAAAGCCTATGCAAGTAATGCATAAATTGGATAGATCACTTTCAGTTGACTTATAATGAACTAAATTCTATAGACAGTCAATGTAGGCGCGCCACACGGGCTCGCTTGTTTTAGGGCATCATGTTGGTACTAATTTTGATAAAATGAAAAGTGCAATGACAACAAACCTTAGCTTATATACTTATATAGTTTTTATCTTAGTGCGCATATATATATTTTTTATTGATGTTTTTTGTTTATAATGATTTTAAAATGTTGCTATTTTGCGAAACATAATGTAATGGATATAAATATTATATCATTTAAAATTATAACGCATATGAATATTGTCCTGTAAACTCAGCTATATTCTTACGTAATTCAATTAGATTGCAACGTAAGTTTAAACAGGCGTCTAGATGTCAAACATCAATGTTCAATTGGCTGTATGTATATGCTAGATTCCTTTGCTTTAAAATAACCAACGTGATATTTCTTTCGTTGTATAATCAATAGGTATTGTTTGTATCCAAATTTGCATAAGCGCAGTTGTAATGTCATATGCCCAATCATATTGGTCCCTTTTCTTATTAAAAATAATTGAAACCATGCGTGGATGAAGACATTATGTCAAGCTCTTAACAGTAAGTTATATTTGAAACTTTAAAATAAGTTTTTTTTTTATTAATATTGTTATTTCAAGTAATTTCAGTTAAATAAACAATTGCCATTCATTTTAACCTTTTTACTTAATATTTCATTAGACCTTCAATCACCACGTCTTCAATTATCGTAACAAGTCGTTCTTCATCAATATAGCATGTTGGTTTAAATAATATTAATATACCCTTTACATGATGCCCCAACACTTAGGCTAACTTGAAGCTCGACCATGAAACAGTTTATATATACTCTTTTTTTTCAATAATAGTAAAAGACAAATATGAATATTCAAAGTCAGAAATCATCAATCAAATTGCCATATTTGTATAATGTGTATACAATGAGAGAGCGGCAAAATGTTTAATTAAATTAATTGAATTTCAACAAGTGATAAAAAAATGATTAAAATAAATAATCTTCAATTTTAATGAATTTAATCTGCAATCATTATTGTGATTACATTTCGCAACTATGTTATATCAATAATTAAATAACATAAATATTAAAACAAATAAATCGCTTATTGATTTTGATTAAACGATTAGTATTGATTAAAAATAAAGACCACATATCACATACTAAAAACATACTTCATTATGTACATTGTATTAATACATACTTAAAATAAATTACGATGTACTTCTACTCTATCAACTAACAACTTTATCACACAATCTGCCAGGCTCAGGACGCTGGCATTTATCAAACTCAAAGCTATACAATAGTTTACTATATAAAACTACGGATAGATATTCTAACAGTCAGAGGAGTAAAACGTAGATTAACTAAAATAATATAACAACGTTGAGCCTCCAAACCTAACTAGTTCTGAGTAAAACCATTCGTATTCATATTAGGCAGACATATTTGGTTAGGGACTAAGCTATGAGCTAAATCAAAAATAAACCTTCCAGTATGGAATCAAGCTTCAAGTTACCACGCACCGGTAATTGACTCGCGAAGCGTCGCCTCTACTACGCTACTCCTTCACGTCAACTCGTATAAAAACTCCATGGTTCAAAATGCTCTGATCCGACGTCGCAATTCCAAATCCACACCCGCCACTTTACCCGTTCTAATTCGTACATTTCAACGACACTCGCACTCACGAAGGACCAAAGCGTCACGAACCGAATCTTAACACTAACGATTCCCAGCTCGAAATATCTCGAGCCACAATATATTAATATTAACAGATAGACAACTTTTTATTAATAATGAAATTTAAGCCATAACTTACTTAACGATAAACTTTGTCTCATCCAATTTCGTCTTTGTATAGACAGCTTTGAAATTACATATATGTACATTCAACGCCGCACGCACCATAATAATTTGTTTTAGTTACAAACTGGCATTACTATCAAAGCTGCTTTATACACTTTTGAACAACGAAATCTTGCGGCTCATAATATTTCGAGTCGCGACCATCGTGCCCCGCTATCGGCGAGTAAAAGTGAGAGGAACTATAGTTGGGTTGTATACTGTGAGCCTTGCGCGGTGCGTGTAAGGTTCACTTTAGTCCGTCCGGTTGCTCGAACTTTTGCTCGGTGACGTTCACCGCATCTGAAGCGAGCGCATCCCGTAACGGTTCTACGCAATTCTTTGGAATAAGTGTACCTGTCGAGGAGACGATTAATTAATTAGCACGTGTATGTATTGATTTTGATATTCGTTAGTGAAACATAATTTATAATATAATAATGGATATTTTATTAAACATACATTTTTATTTATTTATCCATTTTAGATTTCGTTCCATTCATAATTTTATCATCCATTTTATAATTTACAGATAATATCACGATTACTACTTTTTTTCAAATCAAATCAAATACTCGCTACGACTGGGGTTAATATTTCAATCTCGAACAGTGTACATTACAGCTCAAAGATCTTGTATTTATTTAGCATCCAACCGGTAACAAAAGACTTGAACAATTTTATTTTATTACTGTAGTTTAGTATCTATGTGTATGCGTACGAGTATGCGTGTATAGCGTACTGACCTACAATCTTGAGACCGTCGTTGTCCTTGACGCGGACTACTTGCATCTTGTTGAGCTGACTGCGCGCGGCCAGCACGGCCTCCACGCGAGCCCACACGCCCAGCACCGACCCCGACAGGACGTACCATGTGCGCACACGCAGACCCACCTGTATACCACAATCCACCGACATTTATTCTATTCTATTTACTTGTTTATTCGTACATAACATGAATCCTGACGACCTATTTAATTTCACCGAAAAAAATTTTTTGTGTAATTTTGTTATGCTAATACGACTCTAGAGAAACACATTTATTTTTCCATAATTTATCTTATAACGGACATAGCTCACCGAGCTTCTAATGCACTCAATTCATACGACCTATACTCGTACCAATACCGACGACGACTGAACGTGCGATTGAAATTTATAATCAGTCTTTGAAAAAAAGCAATCTATTCTATCCATCATAAACAAACTTTTTCAAACATTTTGTCATTTGGGAACCTTCCCTTCCTTCTTACGTCTAAATATACAGCAATGATTTATCCAATATATAACATTGTTGCGGCTTGAACCATTTCGGTGAAATTTTATATATATATTCAGTATGTCTGAAAAAAGGTGGTTCTATTATTGATATGACAAAAAAACTTTTGCCGGTTCAACTAAGGATTTTGATCAATTCTACCCCTAAGGAGATAAAATAAGGGATAAAAGTTTGTATGAAACTTTGTCAATTTTAAACCGATAGGGCCGAGACTTTGCATGCATAAAGCTACTTTGACTTAAGCATCCTCTAAGAAAGGATTTGATCAATTCTACCGCGAAGGGGATAAAATAGAGGATGAAAATTTGTATGAAACTTTATCACTTTTTAACCGATCAGGCTGAGACTCCGCATGCATAAAGCTACTATGACGTAGGCATCTCCTAAGAAAGGATTTTGATAAATTCCATCACTAAGGGGATAAAATAGGAGATGAAACTTTATTTCAGGTATTTTACACGATATAATTAATAAATATTCGTTAGAAATGCTGCTTAAAGTAACTTTAACACGCGGATAAAGTCGCGGGCAAAAGCTAGTTGCAAATAATAATAAAAAAGAAATACCTACTGTGCTTTACCAACACTTTGTTCACTACTCTGTGAATGTTTATAAAAAAACTATTTGCTACTTGTGCTAGCGCTGCAATCTGGCGACAGAAAGTAACAGTAATACGTCCTATAGAGTGATTATGTGTTAAATACCTCGCAGTCGTTCGGTTTGGTGCAGAGTCCCCGCCAGTACGCGTGGCTACAGACGCGCAGGGACGCCTGGTACTGCGCCTTCCACCATTTTTCCGCTTCGTCGCTCTCCACTCGTCTGTACTTCTTTTCTATTTCCGCGAGCGATTCCAACTTCAATTGGAGGCCCGTGTTCGGTCTAACATTTAGGAAAGAGATACGCAACTTTATTCAGTGTGTGCGGACACCTTACAAAAACAAGAAACTAAACCCTAAACTTCCAATTTATATCTTAGTTAGATAAATAATTAATTATTATTTATTAACGTTAGGTATCTACGTAAAACACGTAACGTTAGATAGATGCATTATATTAAATATAGGTCAGTTTTACAAGACTAAGATCAGTTATACGAGTATTCAATTAATTATAGTAAATAATGAATAGCACCATTACTTCAAAAGTACATAACCAAACTGCTACCATTGCTATTGATTTCACCCAAAACATAGTTTCACCAAGTGCAATATCTATTTTTATATTATAAACTCTACTCAACATAGAAGAAATAAATATACAACTTAAAACTAATAATAATATAACATACAGACCTGTATATCTGGAACATCTGTTCCTTCTTGGTGATTCGTTCCTTCTTGATGGTGAGCGGCACGGCTATACACAGTACAGCTGTGTGCTTGTTATTCCGCGGTTGTTGGGATAAATAGAAGCCCTCCTTGGCACTGCTGGCTTCCGACCATTTCTCTAAGGCCGTAGTCCACTCCATGCCACGCTATTTACAAACAATCACAATATCGCTATCAATTACGTCGTGCCTAACGTTTTATTAACTGTATTTGTGTGAAAACTTCAATGTGTAATTGTAATTTTTGTATTTGATACACCATCAACAATATTACACATTAATTCAAATTAGTACCAAAATGTGTGAATCGTTTTATCGCGTATACAACATAAAAAACTAACGATTAAAAAGTTATATCGAAAGACCATCTTAAACCTTTCTAATATTATTTTACGTAAAATTACATCATTTTGTGTTGCGCATGCATCACGATGCAAATGGTAATAAAGTTTAAAATGTATTCATAAATTATTAACTTTATGGGAACGTTGCAGAGGTACGTTCTTATAAAGCAGCTTCAAATGTGTTAAATACTTTGTTTAGTTAATATTAGGTATGTGTTAGTATTAATAAAAGTATACCAGATTATAGATACAAGTGTGAGATATAATGGTTATAGTAGTGCAGATGTGCGAGTGTTATTTAACACCGGTGCGTAAATCGGATGCGGCAGTATGTTAGTTTGGTTAAAGGTGTGCGTGAGTATGGTTACAGATGTGCGCGAGTATGATTAAAGGTGTGCGTGAGTATGATTAAAGTTGTACGTGAGTATGGTTACAGGTGTGCGTGAGTATGATTAAAGGTGTATGTGAGTATGGTAACAGGTGAGCGTGAGTATGATTAAAAGTGTGCGTGAGAATGGTTACAGGTGAGGTGCGTGAGTGTAGTGTACCTCGGAGTGCACGGTGTGCAGCTCGACGGGCGCCTGTCCGGTGGCGTGTCGTCGCAGGAAGCGCAGGGTCCGGGAGCGGCGCACGCTCTCGCCCGCACTGCCCAGGTCCAGGATGCCCAGATCGAACCTGCCGCTACGTTTGGCTACAGACAAACATATACCCTTTATTAATATGTTCACAATCCAGCCACCACCCTAACCAATCATTTCCGTTCCTTTTAACTCACATATTGAAAAACAAAAATTGTAAAATTCTAAACTTACAATACAAATACGAAATAGTACAAATAAGTTATGATTTGTTTATTGAGTTTTTAAAATTAATTTACTTTTATGCATGAAAGAAAACCGGAAAGGTTTTCATGGAGCAAACAAAAAAGTACCATAGCGACATCTAGTTTGATTTCGGTGACAATTTTTTTTGTAAATACCTCCTCATTGGCTATTTGACATTTATAACAATAAACATAATATATTCCTTACCTTGTTCCATGACCGCCGCTAACGTATCTGTGAAGTATTTGAACAATCTGTTCTGCAACTCGACCGGCATACCGAGTATCCTATTTAAAAACTTTGACATATTGTTGTAATCCTGAAACAAAGATCGTCGTTTTATATTAAAGATCGCGTATATAGTAACAATGATAAACATACTGTTACATCGAACTAAATTTAGTGTTGCAGTAAGATGAAAATAAATTCATCAATGAACCTGTACAGATAGCGAAATTTTGAAGCGTCGTAAATGTCGATCAATTAGCGCCCCTGAACCTCGTCGAGTATGAGTAAGATGCACACTTTAATAGTTGTAATAACTGAAATCTAATCCTCTAAAGTTTTATACATCAATATTCTTGTTGAAAATTGGAACGTGTTTTTAATAAGGGAATTTAATCAATGAAATTGTTTTAATCAAAATATTGTATTCCGTAATCATTTTTCATTTTTTTAATTATTGTTGTTGTAACATTTATACTTAACTATTTTGTATTTTTTTCTGATTCGAGTTCATTTTGTTGATGAATATATTTCTTAAATCCTGTTTTATATATTAACATCAAAGTTGATTGTCACTATTAGAACACAATATAATATCGAGTTTTTATATGCATATTATTTTTACCACATTACAAAAAAAAACAAATCTTAAACGTCACCATACCCATGCTATGTAAAATAGACTATAGCAGTGATAGATGGTAGGTACCTTATCTAACGAGAGATGTCCGGGCGACGCCTCGCTGTTGACTATGAGCCCTACGCCGACAAGCGCGGAGGCGACGTCCTGGAAGAAATCCCCGCGGTAGGCGCGTGGAGGCGGCACTAGCGGGCTCTCGTACTTCATTATGGCCTTCATCACCGCCTCCAATGCCGTACGACCTGCACAATCAACACTCTCACATCACATAACACGCTTTTATATTTTATAATTTACTAGCTTTCCGAAAGCGTCTTCGCCCGCGTGGTGCCTAGGGATGTAGCGGGATAAAAAGTAGCCTATAAGTTAATCCAGGCTCAAAATCATCCATATATCTGATCATAGTACTAATCTTAACTATCAAACGGCGTTTACTGTGTTCTTTAAAATGAAAAATTAAGATTTAAAAAAAAAATCATTATGCTCTGTAGATCTAAAAAATTTTATTTGAAAGCAAACAAAATAAATCTTCGTTCAACTCCAAAAGCCCAAGGACTCCAGCCACTTGATATATCACATATGTGAACACTGACTGTCAAAATTATTATTCTTCATTGTTATTATTCATTGTCAAAATTGAACTGTCGACATTGAACTGGCTGTGGTCCTTGGTCTCACTGACCGTACATGTTGTCGATGTTCAACTGGCTGAGATCCCTAGTTTCGATTGATATAGTATATGTGTGGATACTGACCTGATGTTGAACTGGCTGAGGTTGTTGGTCTCGGTTAATATATATTGTGCGTGTGTGTATGTGGTTAATGACCATACTTTTTGTCGATGTTTCACTGACTAAGGTCCCTGGTCTTGGTTAATATAATGTGATGTTGACTTGGCTGAAGTCCCTAATCTCGGTCGATATAATGTGACTGTGGACACTGACCGTACTTGTTGTCGATGTTGAACTGGCTGAGGTCCCTGGTCTCGGTGGCGCGGCGATCTCCGTGCGTGAGGGCCCCAAGGGACTCTAGTCGCTTGGCGACTGTGGAGGCGAACCTTCTCTCGCCCGCGAGGTCAGAGATCAGGAATATGTACTCCGGCGCGTTCACCTGGTTCGACCGGTGGGTACGTCCTGATCGAATATACACATATAAGATCACGTAATAGCATAAAAAACAAAAATGACAACTGTTAAATTATGTTGTTTAGTAATTCCTATTCCTGCTATTATATCTGCAGAATGACTGACTACCTCTAGCCATAGGATACAATATCTTAGCAATGTTAGAAAGAAATTTCGTTTCATTTTACTATTTTGCAATATACACTAAATAACGAAGGAATGTTTAAGAATAATTATTATAGATTTGACAGCAGTGTGACGAATTTAGTAATATTACCACTAAGAAGACATGTCTAAACGAAATATAATCATAACCGAGCTAAAATGTCATATTCTATGGCTATAGACTTGGATGGTCCCACCCCAGGGATGAAACTCCATAATCACAACCAATATTATAGGAATTCCGAAATAAAAATCTATTTGAAACCATACTCAAATCCATAATAAAAGTTGCTGATGGCAGAGGACTCTAAAATGGGGCATTATAATTACCCACTTGTTTTTTACTTTCGAAATCTCGAAGCAAAAACCAGTACAAAAACAATCTTCAATCGGTATCCAAATTTTAAATTACATATTTATGAGATATCTGTAATATAATAAAAACTCACCAAATTGTTGTATAGCTCTGTCTGCTGACCACGGTAGCTCTAACGTTATATGAACTCTTCTCCTTTGATTTCTCGCTCTGTGAAAGGATTATTTTATTAAAAAACACTGTTTTCTGGTCTATTTCTCCAATATATATTATGAAATAAAATTATGTCACTACAATTTGTTCTTAATTCTGTACCATTTTTATAATTCGGTATACTATTAATATGAAATATTATTGTACTTGTGTTGAAATTGGAATATAAAGTTTTCGGTACTCTAATAAGATGTTGTGAATGAAGTACCGAAAAACATAATTTTATTGACAAAAAGCTTACAATAAAACCTTTGAAATATAAATTTTAACATCAATAGCAAAAGTCTTGTTACTTGTTACAAAGTCACGATTGGCTAAAATTGGTTTTCACCACTAAAAATAAGACTTATTGACATTGTTTTATTGTACAAAGTTCGTCGAGTTAGGTAATAAATAATTCAATTCAAGGTATGAGAAAAGAGTATTAATCTACTAACACCATCACAGCAAAAGTTTGTGATTACTGTGTATGTATGTTAATTACTCTTTCGCGCAAAAACTACTAAACGGATTTATAAACAATTTAGTATTTGGATAATTGGAAACTTTTATCAACAAATATGTATAACTATTATAATTATCGTACCTAGGGATTAAAGTACGCGGATAAATGAAGGAGACCTTCACCGGTGAGCTAGAAAATGGCTAAGAACAAGAAGCCGACCTGCGATCGCTCTGTAGCGATATGCCACTGGATGCCGCCTCGGATATGATGGCGACGTCCTTCTCGCCATCCATGAACCGCTGCTTCTCCGTCAGGTTGAGCGTCTCCAGTGGCACATCCGCCTCGGACCTGCTCTCGTACAAGATCTGACCGTCCTCCGTCTGGATCACGCGACCTTTGCGACCTGTCATCTGGAAACACAATTTACACATATTTATCTACGTACCATCAGTGACGTTAACCATTAGTTTTTGCTACAAATAGAATAACTAAGTATCTTTTCATCTGGAGGCCAGGGAAATTCGTAATTTGTAATAAATAATGTATTGAGGTTAAATCAGTTGCCAAAATCCGAGATAATTGTGAAGCTACTTTAAAAATAAATGCATTAACATCTAAGCTTTTTATAGTTTGACCCGTAAATATAATAATTATTGTGAATTTTGAAACCACTAGACAAAAGAGTATTTTTCTGTAGTAGAAGAAACGAAACGCAAAACGTCATTTTAAAGTCCGAATTGCATAAGGGTAGTTTTCATAGAACTTTATAAAAATATTCATCAGCCTCTCAATTTTTATCCTGACTTTATTTTAAGACACTAAATTACACGATATGAAATAAGTAAAAAATTTGCTACATTTTGAAATACATCACATCACTAAACACGTTAGTAAGTTTTTAGGTCAAAATTGGACATGATTCTTTAAAAGCACCGTTATTTACTCTCGTACAAGGAACATGAATTGTCAAAATTATAAACCATGGTGGCACTTGCTGCTCGGGGCTATCTGCCAAACCTCGCAAGAGAACGTAAAGATATAAGCCTTATTAAAGACGAGATTTTACTCAAAAGTCATAAAATTGTAGTAGCACTTTATGGATTAATTTTTCAACAGGATAACCGTAAGTGTATAAAATATAAACCTCCCGATAGTATACTATGAAGACCAGCAGCTCTTCCTTCATGTAGTGTAGTGTAGTAGTAATGTAGTATAATGTGATGTAATGTAGTGTAGTGTATACCTCTGCCACGTTGTCGGTGCCGCCTAATTCGTCGACAAGTTGGTCGAGCGTGTTGGGCGGCAGTCGTCGACCCAGCCGCTCTATGGCGACCAGTAGTTCTTCCTTCATGCTGCACGCGCGCTCTATGGCCGACCGAGGCGGCGGCTGACTGCGGGCAGGACCTGTGCCGTATACCAACCACCTCGTCAAATTCATATAGCCTGTGGCGGACTAATCGGACTAATCTCATCGAAGACCTGGGGCGGCAATAGCCCCGGATCGACAATTTTTTTTCAAACGCGGCAGAAACTTGATTTTGCAATAACCCGTCCCCATTTAGGCCGTCATTGCATATAACCATACTCACATCTACGTGAGTAGAGCATAGCAAACGTGGGTCGAAATTGGCATATTGGTGTATATCTAAAGGGTAATCGAAAGATGATACGGATCATCATCTTTCGAAAACTAAAAAATAATATTACATTTAGCCTCGTCAGATTCCAAGCAAATCAAATCAAATATTGTTTATTTTCCAAACTGTGTACTTAGCTGTTTACTAGCTATTACTTAGCTAGACAGTGATCACTACATTAGGCTCGCATACCTGAACAGTAGTGACCGAAGGTGAACACGAGAAGAAAACAAAATAGCAGATTGGGTAACTACGCTCTCACTACTATGAGCAATATTTTATGTTAGGAATCGGACTTTCAGTACTTTACTTATACTTAAATGGTAAATTTTAGGATATTTTGAGTTTGACTTTGAAGTGACTCACCAAGATAGAGTCCGTTGGTCCCGACCGGTGTCCCGGTGAGTGATCTTCCAGCGTGTGGGACACTGACCGTGGCGGGAGGGGGCGCGGCACTCTTGCGTTCGAACATAGTCTCTATCTTGTCCTGTGTTGTAGTGGGCTTCTTCTTAACGACAGCCTTCTTCTTTTTGGAGATTTTCTTCTTGCGACCCACCCACGGTTCTATGAGTTATGAAGTTAAATCAAATATATTGTTGTATATAAGGGCATAAAGCTACTATTGGCCCTTAAAAAAAGAAACTATAAAATAATACAAAAAAAAATAAGCGATATTCATTAATAGACAGTGAAAATTGCGATCACAGTGAACTTAACGACCGCAATTAATGTACACGCTGATAAAGCTGTAAAAAGAGAAGATAATAATATATCAGGTACCGTCGTCACTATCGCTACCCGCTCGGAACGGGTTGGAGTCGCTGAGGTCCGAGTCGGATGGCCGCGCGTCGTCAGAGTCTAGGTCGAGCTCGTCCTCGGAGCCGCGCACCCACTCGTCCTCCGCGTCGGCGGACGAACCGCGCGACCGCTTCGCCGCCGCGTTCACCTGCTGCCGGGCCGTCACTACCACCACACCACAACAATCATTGTAATACTAATGTGTAAATATTTAATGAATTAATTAATATTTTATTGTATCTAGTTTACTGTACTTTTCCAATATTATTCATAGTGCAATAAAGAATATTCATTATTTCCCGTAGAAAAGACATAAAAGTACTGTGGAAGTATCTATTTTTGTAACTTACAACATCTTTATTGATGAAAGAGTACAAAAATTTTTTTTCGCCCCACATTTTAAAATAAACGTTTAAAATTTAATTTAAATTAATGGAAATACTGAAAGGCTATAATTTTAGGGGGGCAAGATCGCGTGAAAACCGCTACTCAAATATATTTTATAACTTATTCAAGCATATACTCACATTTCCTCTTGGAGGTATTGGCATCGTCGTTGTGTTGAGGTGTAGTGATGGCAGCTGTTTGCTTAGCACGCGCCGGCTCTAGTCCCAGCAGACGATTGATGCGGTCGCGGTCTGGAGCGGGGAAATGCTTCTCCACCAACGTTTGAAATACACCCCTGAATCAACGAGACCAAATGATAATATCTTGTACGACTAACACCTGTGTAATTACCCTAGGACGACAGCCGGGGCGGCCAGCTGAAATACATAGTGTGTTGATTACATTGTATGTTTGTTATTTTTTCTTTGTTTCATGATTAAACTCTTAAAATCCATAATGTCTATCGCAAATATCTATTTCTGATTGTATGCTATTCGATTTAGTTCTGACATATAGGCGTATGACATAGGCTATAATTTACGAGGTAGAAGTCGCGGGAAAACAACATTATCTATTAAAATACAATAAACAGCTAGTCAAAATAATGCTGGTCTATATACTGAAGTCGGAGCTATTACGAATAAGTATATAATTTGAATAATTATAATTTAAGTCGGGCTTTTGTTTAATACTAATAAATTTTCATTCTACTTATAAAGACTAATTTTCTATTCATTTAATCACAAAAATAATTAGGAATAGGATAAATAAACTAGAGAACAACCGAACAATTTTTTATTAGTATGGAAGCAATAAATAATAATTTCATTGATGTTAATGTTAACATTCGACAACCAAAGATTTAAGTAACGTTTTCATAATAACAAGTGTAATTATTATTTAAATAAAGAATTTTATTTTAAAAAAATCTACATATTAATATAATTTAATTATAAAATAGGTCGCTGTACTTCAATGCCATTTTAAAATTGGCGCTATCAAGCGTTGCGTGTGTTCGAATGTTATCAACAAACCGTACTTAGCGCCGAGCTCGGCCGGGCGCCCCTGACAACGGTCATTCACCCTAGCGTCGGGTCCACTAGCCGCCATTATATGGTACAAACACTACGCGAGCTCAGAGCGCTTCGGACATGCGCATCTAATCCGGAAACATCGATTCAAATATAGCACATTGTGAATTCGTCACGAAGTATACATTGCATAGTCTCTATATACTTTGCGAATACAACTTTATTTCAAATAAAAACTAATACTAAGAAGAGATGTTCACAAAACAAACTCTAATGGAACATTTAGAGAAGATATCGGAAAATGCAAAGTTTATAAAATTCGATTTTGTGTCAACAGAAAATTTTTCAGTGTCACTCAAATGTAAAGTGGAAACGAAACAAAATAAAGCTTACTACGATGCGTTCGTGTTGCAATGGATAAAGAAGTTCTCTATGTTCACAGCGACTACTTGGATCGTAAGAAACAGCTTTCCGAAAGTAACGCGAATTCTATATAGAAAATTGTACAATTGCCACCGTGCCTCGTTTAATAAAAAAAAAACGACTAGCCTGACGACACTCAATCAAGAATGCAGAGCTAAAATCGATTTCAAATTGAAATTTATTAACAGAAATACGATTAGAAATGATAAATGTTTAAGAGAGGGTTTAAATATGAATATCACAATAGAATTTGTGCACACGCATAAGTTGAGGACGCCCGAAGCAGTTAACATGCTCAAGAGTACGTCAGATACGAATGACTTATTTTTTAAATATTTTTCTACAGGATACTCTCCAACGGGTGCTAAAAAATACCACGAACTATTGATATGCGAACGTTACGGGGACAGTCCAGAGTACATAATGAATGCAAACATAAACCCCACAATGAGGCATATAATGTATTTACACTCGAAAGCAAAACCAAATAACTGGAGCAATCAGAGTTTCGAGGAATTAATGGAACCAAGGAAAAGGTCATTGGAATCCGCTGGCGGTTTCCTTACTTACGATACACTCAAGGTGGTTATACTTATCACGCCGCTCATGAAAAGAGTGATAACAACCCTCGACCTAGATCATATTATAGTAGATAGCACGTCCATCGGTGTAATTAAGACTTTCCTGTATGTCCCCAGCAAAGCGGGAGCGTTACCAATTGCATGCATACTGCACACGGAAAAATGCAAAACATTCTATATACAAGCTCTTCTGGAGGCTAAGCAGGCCTTGGAAAATATTGGCAACATTATAGTTGTTCCGAAAATTATAACCATAAAAGATTGTAACGAAGTAAGGGACGCTGTAAAGGTTATATTTCCAAACGCAAAAGTGGTTACGTCGAAATGGTCACTGCGCAGTGACGTATGGCGTTTGATATGCAGCGAAGACATTAAAATCGAATCACGAAAACGACATCCTCTCATGGAATTATTCAACAATATTATAAGATCATGCAATGTAGAAGTCGGGGAAAAACATTATCATCGTTTAAAAGACGAAGAATACGTGACATCTTCTCAATTACTATCGAAACGTGTAGAACAATTATGGCAGAGCAGAGATCAATGGATGTTGAAATATGAAGATACTTGCATGAATCTCGTTGAAGCCTCGATACTCATTACAAAAGAATTTATTCGTCGGAGATGCAAATCATTTAATACATACATTATGGTGGACGTGGTTACGAACATCTTAGAAGACAAATTACGTAACGTGTTACTGTCTCATGTGAAAAATCAAAATTTAGTATCCGCCTATACGAGGTCATCTATAACGAGCAAGGAAGTAATAAAGGCCATTGGTTGCAATGAATTCAGAGTCGAAATAACTTCCTCCAAAAAGCCTAAGGTCATCAAATTCAGAATAGACACTTGGTGCTGCAACTGTTCCATTGGTAGATACGGAAGATTTTGCGAACACTTATCGGCCGTACTTAACTTTCAAGACACAGAATTACTGAGAAGTATAGAACTGACTGACGAAGAAAAATATTTATTCACTGAAATAGCCGGTGGAGATAAAGAAGAAGAGAATTTATCGATGAAGTCGGAAATCGCAGTTAGCAATGATGCTAATGACAATGTCGAAGTCAGCGACAGCTATAAAGATAACAAAAATGACTTTGCAATGGACGTCGTCGAAGAAGAACGACCCATTTCTCCGGAGAGTCTAGATGCTGATAACGATTATTTTCATTTAGAAGTGAAAACAGAACCATTGGATAGCAATGATCCATTAGAAGAGGACAAGAATATTTCTACTGGTATCACTCGAGATATGATCTCAGATAATTCAGAAGAAATAATAACGCGAGAAATCGACTATACAATGGACTCGTCTCGTGCTACAAAGGTCGCTTTGAGGAATCGATACGAAAACGTTATGAGAACGCTGAACGATGAATTTCGCAGACTTAATAATTACTTTAAAATGAATCCCAACAAGAGCAACATGGAGACGATGGAGCGCCTCGCCAGAGAACTGAGAAAGATACGACCGATAGAAAGGGTAAATTTTGCCAATATGCATATCTCATTAAACAATGAGGAGAACAACTCAAATATAAAATGACACACGCTATTGTATCTACAGTTATATCTTTCTTATTTAAAATGACACAGACAAATATAACTAACTAAACTGGTACATAATAAAGTTAAGCTATCTTAATTAAAACGGATGTCGTGATTGTGTTTGAAAATAAAAGTGTAGTTATTTTTTTATTGATTGTATGTTTATTTTTAAATAAAATAATGCTTAATAAAAAAAAAATCAAAATTTCTTTAGCAATACACACGAGAAATTAAGAAAAGAGGAAAGAAAATATTGTTTGCTTTTTTGCATCGAAAAGACTCCGAAACCACTAGGCAGATTTTAAAAATTCTTTCATCTACGGGAAGCTACGTCAAACGCAGGTGTCTTATATTTACGCGGACGAATTTGCAAAAAAACCACTAGTATGTTATAAAAATTAAATTATGCCATTTTCTGCTTTTATTCATGATCAAATTTGGTTAGGAAGTGAACTAATGCTGAAAATATTTATTGCGCCAAGGTGGATATGAGTAAAATAGATCTTAGAAGTCGGGATATATTATCTTCAATTAGATCGCTATGATATTTATTTTATATCCATAGTATTTTGAATGTACAATATTAGTTAATTGATAAATTTATATCTCTGAATCATGATGTACTTATTAGAATTAGTTTATTTTATTTTTGGCATGAATAAAGAATTATTATTATTATAATGTAATTCATATATTATACAGTAAAATAACCAAGAGGGTTATTAATAATTCAAAAGTATTTTAAAATGAAATAATGAAGTTACACGTCTATATAAAAATATATTTTTATCGCAAATAGGGAATATATATACACATTTATTAAAAATATTTTATATATTTATTTATATCGACATATAACTGAAAAAAAAATGAAATTAAATAACAACTACAACCACTTTCCGCCGTTAGTACATCGACGAAAGCAAAAAATCTACGAAACTATTACGAATGCAAAACATCTGCTTCTTTGTAACAGGCAAAGATCTATGACGGGCAGAAACTTGATATTGCGCCCTTCTACACCGCCTTCCACATTTTGGAATGTATGATTTTTTTCTTTTATGAACTTTGAAACATATTCAAATATATCCGTCCCATCATAGGGTGTATGAATATTAAAATTTCGTGAAGCTCGTTCTTTTTTCTGATTTTGACTCACGGAAAAGAGGTTAGAAAGGCGATCATGCGTCCTTTGTACGAAAACCGATATCGCCAGTCTTGCTAGGAGTGAGACGTATTTACTGGAATAAGCCTTTGGAATAAGTTTTTGCTTTAACGTCTAAATACTAAGTATCGAATAAGCAATTAACGCGTATCGAGTATTTAGAACTCATACAAACTCGTACTCTCCGAGACGCGAAGACGCGGACGCGTTCGATCTTTGTGTGAGTGAATTAATTCCAATTCCTAGGGTCAACCTTAACGTTATGTGATAAAATTGCTTTTTGTTTACACAGTTATTACAAACTCTGCTCTTCGAAACGCGAAACGCGGACGCGTTCGACCTTAGTGTGAGTGAATTAATTACTATTCCTAGGGTCAAACGTAACGTTATGTGATAAAATTGCTTTTTGTTTACACAGTTATTACAAACTCTGCTCTTCGAAACGCGAAACGCGGACGCGTTCGACCTTAGTGTGAGTGAATTAATTACTATTCCTAGGGTCAAACGTAACGTTATGTGATAAAATTGCTTTTTGTTTACACAGTAATTAGGTAAACGTCCGACGCCATCACCTGTTAAATGTAAATTAAGAACTTGGTCGTGTATTTCATTAATTACATCAGTCGTTTCGGCATTTCGTATTGTTTACTATTGTAAAAAGTAGTACTTAATAGATGCTTACACGTAATAATAAAAATAATATTATAATATTTTTTATGGTGTTGGGGTGTTTGGACAAATTTATTTAATTTACTGAGTGGGAACAAATGGTAGTCTACAGTGAGGGTTTATCGAAAAACGGAACTATAGCCATACAATTTATTTACGATAACATTCAAAATCTTTATTAATAAATCACAAAAGTTTATATAAATCGTATAGAAACAAGGTCATACCGCGATTCATACTCTCATAGCACCATCTGTTGTCTCAAATTGGAATCAATTTATCTAATTATACAATGTACTAATTAACTTATATTGCTATGTTGTATTTATTGTTTATTATTATGCATTATATTTATTTATCATATACCTATTTTATATATGTTGAGCATAAATTCTCTATGGGTCAACTATGTCTCTATGGTAATACCTATTACCGTACAAATATTGAATAACTCAATGAATTGTTAAAATAACTTTTTATATGTAAATGAAATTAACTTATATCAACAAGCAAAACTCTTAACACAGCTATTCCCACAAAATTATAATGCCATATATTAGAAACTAATGACTGAACAAAATGTATGTTAACATTTGAGAAATGTGTCTTTCCACTTTAACTGCTGTTTAAGATGTTTTGTTTTTTTACTTTGATTAATTTAATATAATTCGCTACTTTATTTTTTGCTTACTAAGGTTGATAACAACCAATATATAATAATTATTTGCTGAGCCAATATATGTCTTTACAAATGTAATTGAAAAGATAGTAGGGTAGGTATAGATAGCGCAATCCACAAAAAGTCACATATAATTTTTGCTTACTAAATGCTTGTGTAATCATCAGTTTCCTTTGCCGTCAAAGTAAAGGTAACAGTCCAAAAATTGTTTTAAAAATCACAAAAATTTATATAAATCGTATGGAAATGAGATCATACCGCGATTCATACTGGCGTAGCACCATCTGTTATCTCAAATTGGAACCAATTTATTTAATTAATTATACAATATACTAATTATCTTATATTTATTGTTTATCATTCTGCAATATATCTATTTATTTATCATATATTTTATTTATGTTGAGCATGAATTCTGTTTGGGTCATGGTCAACAAACAAAACTCTTAACACCGCCATTCACACAAAATTATAACACTATTTTCTAAAAACGAATGAAATGTTAACATTTTAGAAATGTGTCTTTCCATTTTAACTGCTTTAGATGTTTTGTTTTTATTTTTTACTTTAATAATTTTAATAAAATTCTCTACTTTGTTTTTTGTTAACTAAGCTTGATACATATAATAACAACCAATGTATAATTATTGTATCGAGCCAATTTATTTGTTTTAAAATGTATCCCAAAAATAGTAGGGTAGCTATATAGATAGTGCGATCCACAAAGAGTCTCATTTAAATTTTTTGTGCTAAAAATTTTTTTGGCTTGTGCAATCGTCAGGTTTATTTTTTTCCCGTCAAAGTATTCATGTGCAACTCTTGTCTTGGGACAAAATTTGTGTCGCTAGTCTTAAAAACGCATACTTCTAAATACTCGCGGAATAGGTTTACGGAATAAGTTTTTCAGCGTACTCGTACTTGCAAGACTTAGTACGCGTATAGCCTAGTACGTCTCATCTCTAAGTCTTGCCCCACTTTTCAACCGCCGTACATCAGACGAATCATTAGACCAATTATACAAAAGATATGCACACACTTGCATTTTTAACATGCCAATCAGAACGCTCCAATATAACTATAACCAATCACGCTCAACCATAACAGACATCTAGAGTGCGTAATAAACGTGTAAAAGCCATTTTAAATTGACATGTTACACTAGTGATTGACATAAAGTTATTTACTATAGATATTGAAAAACAACAAGACAATTAATTGGAAGGATACCGGAGTAATAATTTCTTTATATTATTTTGGATATACTTCTTTAGATATTAATTGTTAATTAGTTGTTTAATTCAGTAAGAAATATTTAAATCGCTTCCTAATAATGAACTTACATTGAATCGGTACTAGTCGTGCTTAAATATTTATTTGCATATAAGTACGTTTGTTTATAAATAATAATAGAAGGTAATTTTTTTACGTTACGTTACTCGACTTCGTATCAAGTAAATAGATAAGATCGGCAACATCGCTTAAATGAAACGAATAATATTGACAAACAATGTAATGTGAATAAATGTATACAAAATAAAAAAATACAATTATTACAATAAATGCTATTGGAAATGATTTAAAAATATTGTTGTTAATGGTTCAAAATAATAAAAAAAAAACTAATTTTCTGTAACAATATTAACAATATAAAAACAGATTCTATCTCTACACCACAATCATTATTAAATTAATATACAACGCATACCAAACGAAGTTAATATGGTAGTCAAGAATAGGGTTACATTTTATTTATTGCTATTCTTGATCTCCGATTAAATCTATCTTTTATTACAACTATTTTTATCGTCCTTACTTTTAGTTTTTACTAACTAACACACCATGAATCGATTAAAAATTTCCAGGCACATTACTAGTCATCTTCCGTAATCTATTATGTTACTATTTATAACGGTGATTTCGCGATGTTATTCACATTACATGCCTAGCACGACGCAATGTAATAAATATGCGTACTTCTCCAGCACAGAACACAGAAAGACGTTAGAAGGGCCTTGTGGGCGTGGAAGTGTAGCCACGATTCTGGACAAATGTACAGGATCGTGGCTATTAGTGGTCATTAGTTTAAAGCGACATTACCCATACAAATTTGTCATACATTAGAGCTCAAAGGCGTCATCATCTTTTATGTTAAGCATCGATCGTTGTTAAGCAACTTTTGCAAGGGTAGGTTACGGGATGGGTGACCAAAAAATTATTATCTCAATCTACTCCGTACTTGGTAAGACATGTTAAGCCATTAGACCTGGCTGCATTTGCAGTAATTAATACCCTTCAATCAACATTGAGCCTGTGTGAACGGTCATGGACTATCCTCCTTAACCACCCATAAGGAAGGCCTGAGCCCCTGCAGTGGGGACGTAAAAGGGCTGATGATGATGATTGATTTGTGACGAAGACATTGCACTAATAATATTAAACTTCAGGTAGATAGTACAATGGCAAAACACAAGTAGCGCCAGTATTTTACTCTATATAATTATAGTGTACTCACTTGGCGGTGGACACAAAGTCTGTGAGCTCGCCGTCGTCTCGCTCGAGCTGGTCCAGTGTCCTCGCCTCGCCGGTACTCTGTAGACCTATCACTACACACTTGCCACACTTCACCGCCTCGCGCGCAGTCACCACACAGTGATTCACCTATGTATAGACACAATAACGAAACATAGTAACGAACCGATCAAATATTGTATTGTACAGATAAAATATTTTTGTTTTGACGGCAACACGTCAGGACACACCAAACATCACCGAAAGATTTCAATTCTTAATTTCAAATATGTAAGCCATTTTTTTGTGAGTTTATTTTTAATATTCAAATCAAAGATTATAGAGCGAATATATCCAAACACACCTTCATTCACAACTCAATTTGTAGAGAAATAACATAAAAAACTTTTAAAACAATAAACAGTATGATTCATTATGAACCTACACGTAAGGTTATAAAAAATTAGGAATTTGAAATCTAATCTTTTGTCAGTTAAATTCAAATTAGACTTGTTGAACATTTGACATTTTAGGATGATATGTATTTATTCAAGATATAACATTGATGTATTATACCTTCGCGGCAATACAGAGGTACTTGAAGAACCGTTGGTGCGCGGACCAGAACTGTCCCCACATGGTCTTCTTCATGCGTGATTCCGCGTCGATCAGCTCCGCCGCTTCAGTGAACCGCTGCATCGCCTCCACCCACTGTACTCGCAATATAATAATTCAATTTTGTATAAATTCTTTTAACGGTTATGCCTATTACTCTATGAATTATTAGATTTATTTATTTACACCAATCTAAATATATAAAAACTGGTTAAAAAAGTAGAGAATTATTTATGAAAAGTTTTGTTAGATGAATCGGAGCCCAACCAACTTATAGTACAAAAGTACCTTATTGCAAACTAAATTTTCACGCATTTGAAAAAACTATTCTTCTGCGAAGGTACATGTGTGCATCATTTAAAAACGGTTTTACTGTATGTATGTAACTAAATCGTTGTGTACTGAACTGACCAGTGCAACGGCCTTGTCGTAAGTTTCCTTGAAGGCTTCAGAGAGCGGCACCTCCTCTATTTTGAAGGTGACGCCGTGGAAGGAGAGCTGCCTCGCTATATACATGCCTCGCAGCTTCATGTCCATCGCCACAATCTCCATCGCTCCCACGCCACTACACAATACAATACAATAGTAAAAACAATATAAATATTTAAATATTACAAAATAATGAATAAACTCGACATACGGTCATATAAATATCTACATTTAAATAAAATGAAATAAAAAACAAAACAAGCCATCGAGGGTAAACGCCTAGTCTGACAGTGCAAAAATATCTTTACCAATATGATGTCATATTATGGCGGATCGTATTTCAGATCACAAGACACAATTCAAAAAAACTCATACTTTTAAATTTCATTTAATAGGACAATAACTTCATTTCGAGACTCAAATAAAGATTAATTATTTCATGTAGATTTTGATAATTTATTCTTCGACTTCGTCAACGTAAGCCTAGCTTCCATTAGGTGAAAGAATTTTTAAAATCAGTAGTTTTTAGATCTATCGAATGAAGAGAAAAAAGTTATCAAATCTTTCTCCTTTATAATATTAGTAGTACTAGTACTATTTTTTTGCCAGCAGCCTCGCCCGCATTGTCCACGATATACAAATGAACCTTCCCCTTGAATCACATTGTATATTGATGAAAACCGCATTAAAATCGATTCAGTGTTCAGACAGCGGGAAGCGAATTTGTTTTATATTATCAAATCAAATTAAAATCATTTATTTATTCAGTATAGGCTGTTACAAGCACTTGTAAAAGTCAAAACTTTATGTCATTGGTTCGTAAATCTACAGCGGGGGAGACCTTGTACCGAAAAGAACCGACAAGAAACTCTGCAAGGGCTGCTATTTCTCCCTGTTTTATTTCATACAAAGTCGTCAAAATTAAAAATTGCCTTCATTAAAATATGAAGTCACTTTCCATTATAATATTAGAAAATACATATAAAAAAGGTATAAGTAAAGTTATATATACTCGTCAATCGAATCACATGCCAAGTCAAACAAGCTTAGTAGTCCGTCTAGACACTAGAGCATCTATGTATAGAAGACTAGCGAATTTACCATTTTTTTGCGAGTTAACAGAGTAAATAAAAATGTGTCTGACCGTTTCTCGACGGCGTTGATGAAGTCCATAAATGTTGGGAACGGCGTCCCGTCTCCCCAGATGCCCAGACGGACCATATACGCCATGTTGCGGGGCTCCGAAGCCCCTGTAGCGGAGGCGTACACTACTCTAGCGCGGGGTAGCTTGGTCTGCAATTCTAGCGCTGTCAGACCAGTCTTAGTGGCCTTGCCAGAACCCACTGGGCACAGGTTCTTAGCTTTGTGGCACTCGTCGAACACAATCTGTGTAGAGTCAAGGTCTATTCCAGGCTAATTTAGTTGAAACACAATTAAGCTTGGTGCTCCATGACGAAGTAGTCTGCGATGCAGTTATTAAGCAACTTTCACAAGGATCACAAGATGGGTAATCAAAAATTATTTTTTTCGGATTTTCCGTGCACATTAAGCTGTTGGTCCCGGCTTCATCTTCAGTACCGTCCATAGGTAAGGAATACTCCAGCAGCGGGGACAATATTAGGACGGTGATAATGATAATTACAATATACGGATTCAAATATATACAATTCACACTATTGATATCAAAGAAAACGACATCGTTTTGTATTGAGATTATTAGCGCAAAACTACTTTTTCATCTTGTTCCGGTATAAAAGTTAGGAGACGTGCTTTTTTTATGGAATAGGGTGCAGACGAGCAGACGGATCACCTGATGGTGAGTGATTACCGCCGCCTATGGACACCTGCAACACCAGAGGAGCTACAAGCGCGCTGCCGGCCTTTGAGAGACGAATATGCTTTACGTTTGAAATTTTGAAGGTCGTATCGGTCCGGAAATAACGCTCGCGACAAGCTGTCCCAGAGTTTGGTGCTTGAAATATAAATATTAAAATTTCCAACAATAGACACGTAATTCGTTTAACACCAATGCCATTAACTTGCCCGATCTCCCTTCTTACGAATTCATATATTTAGCTTTATCAAGTCCAAAACTGGCTCATTTCGCGAATCATTTTATAATATGTATGACGTGTAGCAATAAATTTCGACCTACTAAACAACACGACAATCCAAAACTAATTATTTCCCTATTTTACTAAATTCATACTTTGTATTTTGAGTACAAAATATAATTGCGAATTTTTTAAATAAATGAATAAGATATTGACGAAATCTCTAAAAGCTAAATTAAGCCTATTTTAACAGTCTGCAATTGGCATACGTTAAACTAACGTATATGTATAACACTGTTATATAATAAAGGATACACATCCGTCGAAGTCTTCCCCGCACCACTGCAGTAATTGCTTGAGACGGGTCCTGTACTTGTTGCCCTGCGCTTGAGTTTCTCCTATCAAAGCAGAATACGTGCAGAACACCACACCTTTCTTCACACCGCCGTTCACCGCTGACGATATCTTGGCGTACTTGAACTATAACGTACCGACCAAAACTTACCATTAAAACCTAATATTATTTGATAATAAATAGTTATTGCTAACATTGAAAATATAATATTTTATGTGCAATCTATTCATATGCTTTATATTTTCGCTAGTAAAATAAAAATAATAATTCTATGTTTACTTAACAAATTAACAAAAAATTGCTTACTTGACTGATTTGGGAAAAATATTTTAAAACAAACAAACTTTATGATCATATTAAATCACTTATCAGATTTATTTCTCCAAAAATTGTTATAAATTAAAGAAAAAGTCGTGCTCAAGAGACATTTAGAGTCGTGATGTCACATTTCAATAAACATAAGTTCTGGTTGCGCTCAACAAACACGTTTAGTTTATTGAATTGTGACGTCACTCTATGCTCCATCATGGCCGCCCGCGTTTCGGGTCTTGTTCGAACCACAAATTAATTTTGCAAAACTCGTTATTTTAAACATATTGTTTACCATTATTATATTTGATTAATTTCGCATTCACGATCTCAGGGTACCAGGGACCAAGTGGATTTTCTAAGCACTTTTCATTAAGAATATATTGTTTTCCATTTCCAACATATTTCATAATTTATTGTAACTATCAAGAAGCCAATAACGTAGTAGTTAACCTTATTGAGCGGGTAGACCGGTATCCTGTCTGCTGCCACGTCCCGCAGGTCTCGCTCGGCGTCGTACTTGAGATCGTTGGATACGGAGACCCAGATGGCGCGCTTGCGGCCCTGCAGGTAGTTCTCGAATATGATGCCCGCTATAGTGCGGCCCTTGCCCACGCCCGCCCCGTCACCTGACACACACAGATCATTATAATATGTTACCGATACACTCTAATACAAATACACGATAAAAGTGTGTTTTCTCAGTATTTAATGTACGAAACGATAATATATAGATGTTTTACTAAATGAAATTTAAAAACTCTTGCAACTCGTAAATTTCTACCGATCATGTTGTAACGTCGTTATATTCGTAAACAGCACTCTAACTTTATTAGTATTCTCGTCGGGCTGCATGTGGTGGTGTATACTGACCTATGAGAAAGCCGGCACGCGTGCCGTCGGGCAACATGTGCTCGTGGGCCTGGGCGGCGTATACGACGGCCTCCAGCTGCAGGGCGGACAGCAGGCCCCCGCGCAGGGTCTCCTCGGGCAGGTGCAGCTGGTACGTCACGTCCACCGGCTCCACAGACGACAGTGACGCCGTCTCCACCACCGGGTCCGGGTGCTTGCGGCCCAGTTTCACTATACAAACCAAATGTCATTTCAGTAAAGAAATTTCAGAATTCCAGCGTGTTAAAGATGCCCTCAGTTTCATTTGAGACAATAAATACTAAAAATAAAACTATATTTCCCTAAACAACTCCAGCACCATTTCTTTTTCGAAAGAAAAGTTGTTTGTAAAGAAAAAAAACTCGACCCAAGACTCGACCTAGTAGCTACAAAAAATAAAATAAAATAATCAACTCACGTTTGGAAGGCATATAGTCTGCATAGGTTTCCGCTACACCCATCTCTTCGTCATCGACTTCCTCTTCTTCGCCAGGCATCTGATAATTTCAAGACGATAAAAAAAATCTATATAATGTTTCTGTATTGAGCGAATAATAATAGTTAGGTATTAACAAAAAATACTTTCATATTTTCGGTTAATTAAAAAAAGGCGATAGTACCTTGTCAGGTTGCCACATCTGCCGGTTAGCATGAGCCCAAGGCGGCAATTGGGCAAACTGTCCCAACATGCCAGCCAGCGGGCCACCCATGCCCGACGCCAGGATCTGGTTCAAGTTCTGCAGGAGGTACGAGTTCATGCCTGGCACGCCTACCATCTCCACTGCGGCACACATATTAGAAACCAACTCGTGAGCATCTTTGTACGTTACATTGATTCACTCCACACCGATCGGACAGTCTCATACTGTTTTACTAACCATTGTCCAAATACAATAAATGGGTACTAAAAAGCGGACAACTGTACTAAAAAAACTGCTCATTCATCTGGTGACAATTGGGTAGTTTCAATAATGAAAAATAAGTCGCGAAATTGCACAATAACTAAAATGTACATCGTAATAAACACTAGGATTCTGATTTTGAGTCTTAAAATAGTACGATTATCTTATAATCTCAAAATTAAAATGCGAGATGTTTTGTCTGCGTGTCACGTGACTTGAAACACGACCCGCCATTTTGTGACATCACTGTAGCGACAGCTATCAGATTAAAGATATGTCTATTAATCATAAATCAAATTCTTAGATGCGTTTTCAAAAAGTTTAAATTTTGAAATAAGGCAAGAAAACGCGTTTATTTTTATAAGCTGTTTGTTTTATGTTTTTTTTTATTTTTTATTTAAATTAACACTTACAAGTATTATTTCAAACAGAGTAGAATACCCTATTGGCACCAGTTTCGTTATTGATTCGTTTACTGCTAACACAACCGCCATTAACAAGACTCTGGCAATACTGAAGTATTGCCAGAACTAACAAAACACTCTTTGGAAATATTTAAAAATATATGCGACTTAAATTTAAAAATTAAATCCATTTTAATAAACACTACAAGGCATGCATCTCCAATTCTACTGAAACACAAACATTCCCCTAATCAACTACAACAGCGTTTCTTAACCTCTAGTTGCGTCCTTGCGATTTTTTCGAGGATGCTTAGTAAAAGTAGGGACTTTAAGTCCTTTTATTTTATTCATAACTGATACATTAATCAATCAGTCTGGGTCTTTTCATATGGGGGCTTCTAATTTGGGTCGGTATCCAAAAAGGTTAAAAACCACTGGATTAAAATAACCAAATTAACTACTGAAATGTTTACACAAACTCGCATACAGCATTCCCGATAAATATGCCACTGTTAAAAATATATTCATAAATTCTCATATAATTTAATCAACTATATTAGGGTTGCCTGGATCGTATTTGTTTCTTTATTTATTAAGGAATTCATTGGGATTATCCCGACATTTTGGAGGATGTTCAAAGTTCCGAAAACAAAAATTATATCTTTATTTTCACGCCGCATCTAGACGACCGTCATAAGTAAAATAATACCATAAAAGTTATTTATCGACATTTTCCGAGCCACAGAAAAATCGTATCGATTTATGTCCTAAGTAATTTTAAAATTTGAAAAACAAAATATTCCAATACTTTATTGTGATATGAATATTTAAAAACTTAGTTAAACAAGAATAGAAATACACTATATTTCAGACGCCTACATTGAATAAATATAGTTTATTAGATTTGAAGTGCCGCTTGGGACTGACAAAGCAAAATATGTACTATCACACTATGTGATACCACTGGAATACTTCAAATATATTTTCTTGTAATAAAATCTAAACTTGCCTTTTAACTGTTAGTCTGTTTTATTTAAATATTCTATTTAAGTATATGAAAATATCTACAAAATATGTAAATACCCTATTAAATCTTTTAAGTAAGATTTAGAATATTATTATAATATAAATTATGTTATAATACCAATTAATTAAAAAAGGTATAATAATAGAGATCAGGAAATTGGGATCACTGATGACTTTTAAAAGTCGCTGTGTCTGCGTAGCGCCTTATATTGAAAGAAATAAGCAATAGTATCTATGGTTTCTAGTGCTTTACATTCAGAATAACATATCTATCGAACCTAGAGATTATTATATTTGAACATTACAAAATCAAACTTATTAGTAACAATTTAAAGCTCAAACAATACAAGCATTAAAACAATTGAATGATACAACTTTCCGACTTTGTATTATATACCATCAACCTAGTTACTACATACAATCTGTGTGTATTTTGTAGTTAAGGACCATCTTCGGAAGTAATATTGATAATATTTGCTAATACATTGCGTTGTGCCCACTACGCTACTCACTCTGAGCCAGCAGCGAGGCGGCGTTGTAAGCGGCAGAGGAGCCGGCCGCGTACGGCGACGACGCCACCGCCGCTCCAACGCCCGCTACAACACGCGTCACGTTACTAGTGAGTATCACGATACGGCTATATCGATAGATCGGCTATAATTATAATATCGTTACTATACGTTATACGCTAGGGGTCTCGACTAAATAAATATATAGACATTTCCAATACTGTATCTATGTATCGATATTAATGGATATATCGGTAACAATATCGATATTTTGAAATTAGTAAAATGATGATTGATTTTATTTTGAGTTTGTGTTGTTTGGTGACGTTTTTACTTCTTTCAACATTTTCCACTAAGTTTAACTCGTTAAAACAAAACATTATGCAGTTTATTGCTTTTTCTTTCACACCAAGCCGTCGTCGCTTCAGGCGGACACCACATCTACATCTGGTGTGATTTACGCTTAGAAGAACTTTTAATCGGAATTTAAGTTATATGGTTTTAAAAGTATTGGATACAGCCGTTTCTCGATTGACAACACGTTAAGTGATTATTAACAACTAGTGGACGCCCGCGACTTCGTCCGCGTGGAAGTCGGTATCCCGTGGGAGTGAGAAGTTTTCCCAGTAAAAAGTACCCTATGTGTTATTCTGATGTATAACCTATATTGCTGTAAAGTTTTATCCAAATCCGTCCAGTAGTTTTTTCGTGAAAGAGTAACAAACATCCATACATCCATACTTACAAACTTTCGCCTTTATAATATTAATAGGATAATCACTTAACAAACAGCCGAACTATAGGGATAACGAAACTTATTATTTTACTTTAGTGATCAATTTCAATGTCGCTATGTTGATAAAACACCAACAGCCGTCCGCTAAACAAGTCGTAAGCAATCCATCAATAGACTCGATTTATCTCACTTCAGATTAATGAAATCATTTATAAATCCTAACTATCATATCTATTCACATAGTGTGGCCAAGTTTAATAACAGATTCAATACTTAATATTTTCGATTCTTTTGTAGCTCTTAAACTGAAATTTTATAATTTAAATTATGTTTTATTTCATATCATAGTAAACATCATTTTTGACAAAAAAAAATGCTGTTTAAAATTAAGGCCCATATCTATGATTTAACCTAATGTTTTAAAATCCATATTTCTCATACACTAAAAAAAACATAACATAACCATTAGTTGAGTATATCCAATGACGTATTTGAAATACAAATTCAGTCTGTAAAAAACACTATTAATTGTCTTGTGTTAACAAAGCTTTGTTTTTACATCGTTTCCTATTACGTATCCTAGTCATCAGTAATCTACTTAATTTAATGCAGCTTTATTTATCTGTAAGCAATTAAAATCAAAATACTCACCACCTCGTCCCATTCCTCCCAAGTTGATAGGTTTTGTGATTTGACTAGCAGATATTTTGATTGGTTTAACATTAGCTGTTTGTCCGAAAGCTAACCCCGAAGGAGCTAAAAGAATGAATGTTATATTATTATAGTTATACATGTTAGAAGTTATAAAACCTATATGAATAGTAAAAAATAACAAAAAAGCGAAAGGAAGATGCCTAATGGCACTCTGTCTGTTTACCTGCATGAAATCTGGCATAAAGATATGTGGATAAATAGATATTGGTGTGATAATCATGAATTTATCAATGGTTGCAGCCTACACAAATTTAAAATTATGTATGTAAAATTAGATAATGGTGTCTAATGATGTTGTGTTGCAAAATACGGGTGTAGACGGTAAACAATAAGTTTTTTTTTAACAAATTTTTTATTAAATTGATAATGGAACCCTTCATGTCTGACTCGCACTTAGCCAGGTTTTTGAGAAACATGATGAATATAATTATAATTGTCTAATTAATTTTATTTTATCAGATCCGATATATGATCAACTAGCTGTTTACACCGCGTCTATGCAAGCGTAAATTATAGCCTTTGTCACCAGTGTCTGATATTCTGTTGTATGATGTAGTTTCCTGTAGGTGAATTTACAAATCGATCCTGCAGTCTCAACCTTTTCAATGCAAACAAACAAACAATGCAGTATTTCCTCTTTATAATTGTGACAGATTTCAAAAGCAGGACCTTAACAATTTTTGAAAGAAAATTAAAAGCTTAAGTCTAGTCCTATGTGTTGAATTCATACCAGCAAGTGGGTTGGTGGTTGGCTTGACAGTAACTTGGACAGGTGTGGGCACTCCCTTGCCTTTGGTGGATGCCAGGCGCGCCGCCGCTGCCAACGTCTTGCCGCCACCTTCGTGCACAATAATAGTAGTACAATTTTAACTTATCATAATGCCAATTGCAGATTTTCATTATTTAATAAACAAAACAAAAATTAAATTAAAATTCTACATTGCTACGGGTTCCATTGTACAAGAATCTAAAACTGAATTGTTCTCTAAATGTTATTAAAAATATATAATTATACTCCTGTACAGGTACTATATATTAATAAGTCCACTTTTGTTATCTTTGTTATTTACAGTGAGGCTATTGCAGTTTGACAAGATTAAAACTGTAGTATAATTAATTACCATATAATTAATTACCATCATCATCATCAGCCCTTTTACAAATGGTTAGGGAGGATGGGTCATAACATTCTATGCTGGCCCAATGTAGATTGAAGAGTATTAACAATTGCAAATGTAGTCATTATCTCAATTACCATGCCATGGTGATATTTAATTTAAACATAAATCCTTAAAAGGTTCACTAGTCCCAGGATGCCCAATGGCCAAGATAGGATATTGCATTTTTATTATGATTAATTTAGTCCAGATTGGACAACGAAATTGTAATGACTATCAGCTTTAGACAAAGGTTCAAAGAATCAGGTAAATTTTTCTTGTTCTGTAAACCTAAAAGGTGTTTGAATTCAAAAGGACAACTGCCTAACTCATAATTTGCCTGTAAAGGGCAAATTTCAAATACTATAACATAACTAAAATAAATACACAAAGAGTTTACATACCTGGCACTTCCAAGTTATCTGGATCCTCGTCATCATCAAAATCTGAATCATCATCTGATGGTGTGGGTGGACTATCCTCATCATCGCCATATGCGGCACGTTTTGACTGGTCATATTAAAAATAACAAATGTATAAAAACAGACTTTATTAACATAAACCAACTCATATCTTTAAAAAATTATCTTTATTTCATCAGTCAGAGAATTGATTAATCTTAAGCTGGATAACTATCCAATGAAATAAAAAACAATTTGACTGCTTTTTTGGGCTATCATGGAAATATAATACCTAAACATTTGATAACTAAAATGATTTATATTTGATGATTAAGCGGTCACAAGCGCCCTACAAAAAAAAAACTGTGCAATACTATCAGGGCTTTTAGGATAAGAGAACTGCTAACTTATAGGTACCTCATATTACTTAAGTCCCATTGGGGACTATGGCTTTATTAGTTATTTTGGTAATCTGTGTCTCCATAGCTGTCAATATCTTAACACTGATATAGATAATTATCATTTTACTTTAAATTTAGTAAACATTACTTCATTAATATCTTTATAGGTCCTTTTATATTTACAAACATTGAGTCTAACCACATTATTTATTAAAACCAAATGAACCTTGTTAATACAAAAGGGAAAATAAAGAACATTTTCCTAATTAAAAATTCTATACATATGACTGAATGAATAAAACTGTTCATGATTTCTCATCATTATCATTACAATAATATATTTAAAACAAAAAGATAAAATACATTTTGAGTGTAATTTATTGAAAGAATTGGTTGGTTTAATTTAAAATAACTTGTGTTCCTTCAAAACTACATCTGCAGTTATACTTACATAACTGATAACAAACTTTTATACTTCATTTTATAGGTACTGGCCTGCAGTATATTCTGATAAGTCATGTTAGATGTTGAGTACTAACATGACGAAAATATTCAATTATTTCTTTAAAAACTTAAAACCATATTGCAATACACTTAATTATAAACAAAAAGTATACAATAAACATATTTTTCCAAACGAATAATACCACGTTTTATTCATAGCAGTCTAAACATTGAGCGAAACACGCCAGTACCGCATTACATGAATGTCTCCAGCACAAGCAAAGTGCAGATGTTAAAGACATATTCTAACACTATGTCTAGAACCTTCGAAGAAAATCAATACAGCCACACCCAACTTGCATAATTAAGTCGTCGTTAGTCAAAATAACCATTTCAATATCGCTAAAACATTGGCGAAATATCACATGTGAAAATGCCATTACCATGGAACACTTTTTTTTGGTTATAAAACTTGAAAACAAAAGAAAAAAAAGAACGTTATCAATTTTAAATATTAAAACATAAAAAAAAGATTCTGAATTGAAAATATACACACAATTATAAGAATACTTAAGAATTTTATGCACAGAAAAATCGGACTCCAACAAAGTAAAGTTGGTAAAAAAGTATCAAAACAAAAAACTATCATTACCATTTTTATAGCTGGTTAAGCACGTTATCTACACCTTTTCCAAATTTTAAACAATATAAACCAATGTACACCGTTACAAGTTCACTTTAGGGTCGCACAATTGTATTTTATGCAATTCGTAATTGTTATTTCGTAATGACAAAAACCGAAACGTCCGCACGGCGGTCAATGCGTCCGCCATATTAAAAAAAATTCATAAAGTGCAAAGAAATTAGTTCGGATACATTAAAACAGAGATTATAATAATGCAAAGAAGTTTTTTCGCTTAGTATAAACAACTACATTAATATGTTATGCAAAAAATTGCGTATACTTTACAGTTTCAATTTTTTGTATTTTGCAATAATGACAATGGGTTTTCGTTCAACTAAAATTAATTTGTAGTATCCGAACGTTATCAACAGTGTTGGCTCATAGAGCATTACTTTTTTAATCCATGGTAAACACCGAAAGTGAGTCTTTAAACACGTGTTAAATAAAAATGTACTGAAATCCTTTACTGCACACGTGCTTAAAAGTATATTTTTATTCTTTTTTGGCCGAGCACCAAAGAAACTTAAAAAAAAATTGATGAAAATTATGTCAAACTTAAGAGGTAAAAATATTTTAAGGTGCCTAGAACGAATATTTTCAAATAAAAATTTATGACACGAAAGCATGTTCAAATATCACGTTTCATTTTAACAAATATTTTTTAAAAGCATTGAAAAATGTTGTAAGAAACTTCAGCATAAAAGGTTTTTCGAATATGACACGAAAACATGTTCAAATATCACGTTTAATTTTAAGAAATAACTTTTACCTTTAATACATACTTAGTTTTATTAACCTATATATTTGTTTTATTTCCTCGCAAAAAGCATTGAAAAATGTTGTAAGAAACTTGAGCGTAAAAGGTTTTTCGAATTCGTGCCAATGAAATCAATCAATTTGGCCCTTATTCGTAAAACCTTACTTTCCGCACTCGTATCTTAAATAACTATTATTGAAGTAAGCTTATTACAAGCACTTTTGAATCGCTATAATTTTTTTTTTCTCTACTACTTTTTCAGGACGTCTTTTAGCTGACAAGAAGAACTAGCGAAAGAAACTAACCAGCTTTTTATCATAAGTAATAACATTAACATAAATCATGCCATAATCCAAATCATATGTATTGTCACAATAATAAATACAACTTTTTAAGTCTGTAGGTCATAGGTTGTACATATAATTAGTCATTATAGAACAAACCGAAGGCTATATATAAAGAAGTATTTAAAAAAATCGAAAGCACTAAAAAAGCACCGTTACTAAATGGCGACTCTAGCAAAAGTTGATTTTTATAGGAAACGAATGGACCAAAGACAGTCATTTCCGTTCCTATTAACTAACACTAAAATTTGAAAAATTTGTAATTTAGATATCAATACAAATACGAAAAAGTACTAATAGAATATGAGTTGTTTATTGAGTTTTGAAAACTAATTTACTTTTAAACATGGAAGAAAACTGGAAAGTTTGTCATGGAGAAATCAAAAATGTACTCGTCATCAATGAAGAAATAATAAAAAAAACATTAGTTCCCGAAATCTAACAAGATGTTGCCACGGTACGTTCTTGATTTCTCCAAAATGAAAATTGGTAAACCACTGACTAATACTTCCAAAGATCTATTAAATTTAGGCATAGAAGCTAAATAACAAATGTAAATAATTCGTATCAAGCAATACCCGGCAATTTTTATGAGTACTTTCGAGTACTTATCAGCTGTGGTATCGAGAACTCCGTATTGAGTATAGTTTTTGGACGTATCTATGCCTACTCTGTATCGAAAGTATTGTTTAAACTAGCGATTGTAGCAATAAAAAAGATCAACTGAATCGAAAATAGTGCTACTGCGCATTCGATTGTCGATTTAGTAGTTCTCTGCCATAATTAAACGATTAAAAATCGTCTTGACTACTAACTGACGCACCCTATTCTGCCACCGCAAGGTTTTGTTGTTGACAACAATCGAATAACATCAAATGTATTTGACATTTATGGTCTAAGCTGACACTCGACTAATTCGATTTTTAAGGAATAATCGCCCATCACTACCCGCCATTATCCGCCATATTGAATAATGTAAAGGAAATTACATGTTTATTTCTTTCTTTTCTTCAACTAAAATCGTCAGTAAAAATTGTTTTGATATATTTTATTTTGCACTAGAAAATGGATTCTCTCGTCGGATATGGTAGTGATGAAGAAAATGAAACTGAACGATATGCAGGAGGACAGTCTTCGGTATGCATTTTGAAATCCGTCCTTGAGTTTCTTCTACTTAAAATAGTTAAGATTTTGGTTCCAATAATCGTCATTTTTATCAATATTCATTATATTTCATTTGATTATCTGTATTAAGAAGATCACTTGATATAACGTAACTTATCCCTATTTTTAAAAGGTAAAATTGTTCAAACATAGAGATTTAATCACGTCAGACTAAAGTTTATATTTGGCCGTAGTGTTTTTTATTTCTTTTCCATATGGAGAATATGACTGTGATAAAAGTAACTGCTTTTCATATCTTCAATCTTAATTGTGGTGGTTAATTATTGTGGAGTAGGGTGTAGCTACTACCATTCTGCACTCATCAATTTATGAAAATTAATAAATACTTTATCAGAAATCACAAAAAAAAAAAGATTCTTTTTCCTGTCTAAAGTGTACATTTCAAACTTGGCAACGCTTTCAAATTTAATTCAAATTAGGGAATTCCACAATAATTGATGTACATATTAAAATTCCCACAGTTTAAACAAACAGTTTTCTTTTTATGAGAAATCTTTTCCCTTCACAAGGGCCCCAAACAAATTTTTATATGGGGCCAAGACATGCTACACCACTGTTTTGGAGTTTTATGTAATCTCCACAATCATTGCCTACATGCACTAAGCACAATGTCATTGAGCTCTTACTTACTTACATTTCAAATATATCCTTTTACCTTGATAGCTTTCTTTTTGAACTGTCTTGTGGTTTGGATATTAAGAGTAAAAAAAAACTAAAAAAAAAAAAAAAAGACTTGAAGACACACCTTAAGTGCTTATAAATGAAATAGATAATTTGCTTCACTGAGAGTAGTTTGAACAAAATAAATCAGGTAATAAATTTTAAGGAAATATACAACCCATTTAGCTTAACATCACATTCTTAGTAGTTGTATCAATACTTTGCAGCATACGGGAGAACTCATCAAAATAACATCTTTTTAGGAGAGCCAAAAACATTAAAACTGCTCTGTTGTGACAGCTAGTTCTAGAGGGGTATACTGAATATGGGATATGCCTTACAATTTTATTTGAAAGTGTTGAATACATTGACGATATCTAATTAATAATTGCTTATACTCTAAAATTACAATCAAATCTGCATTTCCCATGTTAAAATTTTACATTCCTAACTCATTTTGCAGAAAAGTGGGGTTATCCCCTTTGAGCCAGATTGTGAAAGGTTGCAGGTTCATTATGCATTTTCAAAGTTAAAAATAAATATAATTGCGAATGTGAACTTTGATGAACCTTTACTGTAATTATATTATAGAGAGGTTCTTAATGAATAGGCTCAGAAATTACTGGAGTGAATTTAAAATTGCTGTCACCTGTGCGAAGATATATCATACGCCAGCAACATAGGCTACAATTTTCGCAGGCGAAATAACTGGAATTATATATAATAATTATAGTAAATGTGAATAGTAGATAAAAATTATTTATGGTCAATTTTGCATTCACAATGCTGTACTAGAAATTATTCGTTATAAAAAATACTGAAAAATTCGACTTTGTTATTGATATTCTGAGATAGGATTCACAACCTTTTGCCATCCAGGTGACTGCTCTAACCACTGAGTTACCGAGGACCTTACAGGACTGACAATTCTTCATGCACTTGTTACAAAAGATAGTGGATTCGAATCTTATCTCAGAGTACCAAGGACAAAATGTTTTTTTTTAGCATTTTTCATTGAGATATAAATCATTTAACTCTACTAATAAATATTCTCTGCTTGACAATAGATTGGTATTGTAGGTTGGGGGTACGAGAAGCCGCCGTGAGGACGATACAAACTACGATGACGTCAACATGGATATGAGTGAGGTAAATAACTTAGTTCAGTAACACCCACTTTATTTAAAAAAATGCAGATTGCATTCAGTATACTGTATCTATATTTTCACATGTTCTGCCTTTTGCTCTTGCATATTTGCTCAATTACTTTCTAAATTATGTCGCCAAACAATTTTAATGTATCTCCAAAAAAATCTCTATCTACAAAAAGAAATATCACAATCTTGAGCTGTTTTCAACGATGATATTAACACTTTTATTATTTTATATGTTACCCATTTGTAAATTGACACAAAACAAAAGTCAAATACCCCCCACGACTACGGCATGGCCCCGTCGAGGTGACCGTCAGAGAGCGCTCCACAATTGACACTATTGCATCGCACATGTAAGTACTTAGCTTTACAGGCAGACTTATGATTGGATACGTTTCCTTTATATCCCTCCACTGTGGGATATACAAAAATCAATTATGCTTAATTTCTTTTCACATAGTTTCAAAAATAAAACAATTTCTTTTAATATGCAAATATTACTAATAGCAAAGTAGATGAGATTTTAAGAAAATAGGAGGTGCTGGTCAAATTAACTTAAATAATAGTTATAAGAAGGTTAATATACTTTGTAGAGATAAGGTTTGTACAAATTATTCTTTTACATAAAAACTATATATTTTTCTACTATTAGATATAATGCGTCAATCCATTAAGATATTTGTGTAATGATGTAGATTTACCGATCAAATGACAATAATAGAAGTTGTCTCATTAGATTAACTTGATACTCTGCTGTTTTTTTTAACTTACTGATGTTCAAAAAATAATAATAATGATTGTTGTGTTAGAATATGGTTCACAACATATTCCACTGATAATATCATAATGATATATCTACCAAATATTTAGTTAAATTGGATATATATAATAGTACTATATAAATTGGATTTTGTGCATCAATTTTGCTATCTGTATTTAATTATGTTTGTAGCAAATCCATATTAAGTTTCTTTATCAAATTCAAAAATAATCATTATTAATAGGTTTATAAGTAGATGCTGTAAAAAAATATTTTGTATTCTTTCTTTCCTTCTTCGATACAGAAAAAAGACTTGAAGATGTAAATTAAAAATAATGCCATGTGACTGAATACTCATAACTGATTGTTAAATCTTTCAAGTAATATACGCAACAGGGTAAAATATTTACAGGTGGGACATTTTGCCTTTGTAAATAGGCATTTTTCTTAAGATATATGTATAAGTATATTTATTTAATATTTTATTTTTTATTGATATTTTACATTGGATTTCTTCTTTTCTATAACTTATAAAAGAAGATCATATTCGAAATAATTCGGAAATCATCGCGACTTAGGTAGGTAAAATTGTTAGTGAATTGTCAGAGCTGCAATAGTTACATTGTGTTCTCAGGACCTAATCGTCATTTTATTTTTAATAGGCATGCTCTTTGATATTAACTAGATAATTAATTCTAGTAAGAATCAATAAGAGTAATAAAATAAAAACTTAAAATAAAAAGGGACCCAACATCAATAATAAAACGTAACCATAACTCTGGATCATGTCCAACTTGCTCTTGCATTGTCTAAGTTTGTATGTTTTCTGTGGTATGTAGGGCTCGCGTACCTTGTCGCAGGATTCTCAGGAGTCGGAGCCGGAGTTGCCGCAGGCGGAGCCCGCGCCCCCTTCGCACTCGAGGGATGACCGCAGGGGATCAGGTATGTTATATCAATCGTTATATTGTTTTTGATATTAATTATTAATCTTAACAAACAATTAAGAAATTAAACTTTCTAAAGTAAATCTAATCTAAATCTAATATTTACATTGAAACAAACAGAGATATTCTGAATTTGAGTCCTAAAATCGAATGATAATATTAAAATTAAAAGTCGAAATTATTTTATTTGTGCATTATGAATCAAATTACTAAATGACAGTGCTATTGTGGTATTGATATTTTTTATCTAATTATAACGTAATATAGGCGCCTGTTTTGTGAACATATGGGAATTGAGTCGTGAATACGGCGGACAGCATCGAAGCCGGTAAAAAAAAATTTACTTTCTTAGTGAAAAATTCTTAAAAATACACTTTCTCTCTGGTACTCTTTACTTTTCGCAATCTGGGCGACTGCTCTAACCTCGGAGCTGCCCAGAATCCAACAGGACTGACGAATTTTTACTACTACAGAGCGTATATTCATCCACATTCAGGCAATCTACCTAAACAGCCGAAAAAAAATATTTTAAACTTACGATAAAGATCAAAATGTGTTCTAAGTATTATATTTGAACAATTTTGCATCATTTTCTTTAATATACCATCTCAAATATGAAAACACATGTGTATTGCGCTGTACACAGATGAGAGGTGCGAGCGAGACAGACGTCGTCGCGACCACCACCGCCGCCGCGACTCGCGCGACAGAGATCGCCGCTCGCCGCGCAGAGACGACAGATACAACAGGTACATATGTAAATAAATATTAAAAAGTTGGGTTATTATAAGAAGCCACATTTGACATCTAACAATCTTAAATTGATAGTGACGGTCATGCGTAAAATGTTCGATTAATATAATGAATCGATATGGTTTTCAAATAATTTGAATCACATGCAGTTACTGCGCAAATAAGTATAATATATGTTATTATTATTGTCATTAAATTTATTAACGAGATTAACTAAATGTAACAAGAACAACAGAGGTAAATAACAAATATCGAATGATACTCATAGTCGCTTTATATTTCAATTGCGTAAAAAATTGTTTCCTCACAAACTACATATTACGTTTATTTTTAACTGATACATAATTATATCATTTAATAGAAAAAAGATCATCAAGTTCCATTCTGCACAATCAGTTAGTCAGTATAGATAGTTACTCAAAATGGACAGTAGTTGTCGTTGGTCAGTGTAAAACAAAGTGAAAGCTAATTTTATATATTTCGGTCTTTAAAATAATTGTCAACTTTCTAATAGATTAGCCGTTTTCAATCAACTTCGCCCGTGTATATTATAGCCTATGATACCCGTGTATGATGTAGGTTTCCATAGGTAAAAGTATTTTCATTGTTGGATTAATATTTCCGAAGAATACATCCTAAAAACAAATCAAAACTTTTGTCTTTACCTTTTTATAATATCACTATAGATTGTCAAAAACAGTCGAATAATCGAGTCGGTCGTTGTGTATGTTAGGGGGGATCGTAATGAGCGGGATCGCGGGCGCGGTGGCGGAAGTGGCAGCGGGAGCGGTAGCGGTGGCGACAGCGGATCTCGACGCGGACTACTCGGCGATAGACCTGATGACCGACACGCCGACTCCAAGGTAATTCCATCGTTGTAATACTTGTTTCTACGCATTTAGGTTTAAAATCAATTAGAGAAATATGTGCATTTTCAATAGTTGACATACATTTAAAGTTGGTTTACGTATGGCTTAACATTCGAGCGGTAATCTAAATAAAAAAAAAATTTGTATGAAAGTAAAAGGTTTTTATGATGAGGTTGTATGCGTTTTACAAATTACCTTCGATTATTACTCAGTATTGCTGTATTGTATTGGTGTAAGAATGAAATATGTATTAGAATTTAGTTAAATTTCATCAAGCAGGTGCCAGCGCTAATGGATCTGAAGCCATTCGGTGGTGAACCCCCGCCGGCAATAGAATCTCGCCGCTCACAGGATGCACGCGACGCCGTCTCACCCAGGTCAGTAGAACCAAAATTCGGATTATTTGTTTGGTTTGATTCAAAAAAGTGGTGTTATGTAATTTGTAAAACACATTTTCTGAAATGGAGTCTAAAATGGAATTCGCTGTAAACCAAAGAGTTGCCATTAAAGCAAATTAAATGATTGAGGTAGTTTGTTCACAAGCGTTCAAATAATGGGTTGGATTTTTTTTTCATCTGTTTAATAAGTCTAAAAGAAAGTTGAATGAAAGTTTTTAGTAAATTTTTACTTTAACTAAAATTCTAGTTTTTTAAATTATTAAATAGGTATTCTTAATTATTAATTAGGAAACTGGGATTCATAACGTTTGGCTTATTGGATTAAACTTTAATCAATTTATTATGAATATGTACGCAGTGTTGCTAACTCGGAGTATTTTTGCGTAGATCAATGAACCTACATATTTTTTACTTATGTTTAGAAAATAATATTAATAGACTCGTGCGAATGATTTGACGACTTGATACAAGAATGTAAAAAGCCGGGCACGAGCTAGCACCATGTCTCATCTAGTCTGGGTCGATAATTTCGTTATTCTTATTGTATTAAGTGATACTATACTGACAAGACTTTAACAGAATGGTCACAATTTAATTTTTTCTCTAATTGATGTGAAAAATACAATGTTTTTGACGAGTGTCAAAACGGCTTTCGCAAGAATCAATCAACTGTGCTGCCGATTTATAAATATATCCAAGAAATTTTAAATTTAATTGATAATAAACAAATTGCAATTGGGATACTGATAGATATGTCAAAAGCTTATGATAAAGTACAATTTAACATATTATTGAAAAAAATATACGAAACAGGTATTCGAGGAAAACCATATAATTGGTTAAAATCATTCTTAAAAGATAGAGAACAGTTTGTTGAGATAGAATATTATAACTATAACCCAAAAGAAATAGAAACCATTAGATCAAATGGTAGAATAACTAATGCCTCGATCCCTCAAGGGAGTGTAATCGGTTGTTTACTGTTTCTTATATACATAAATGATCTTCCAAAAATTGTGTATGAACCATACGTATTATTCGCCGATGATATGTCGCTCCTATCATCATGTAAGTTCGATTCAAATATCAACATTAAATTGGGTTTCATTTTCCATAATATTGATTACTGGATGAAAAAACATAATCTTGAAATCAATTTTACAAAAACAAAAATAATTACCTTCCATCCATACCAAAAACCTCCGATAAACATTAATTTCACATATAATCAACACAAAACAGAAGCAGTCAATGAAGTCACTTTACTCGGTTTGCTATTAGATTCACATATTAATTGGAAGTTACATATTCAAAAACTATAAAGTAAATTTTCTAGCTTTGCATATGCATTACGAGAAGTAAAAAAACTACAGACATAAACACCTACTACGCGTAAGCATATGCATGGCTTTGCTACGGTGTTATCATTTGGGGAAACAGCACAGAGATTCTATCTATTATTTAAATTGCAGAAAAAACTGATTCGCATCATCTTTACCTACAAAATAGAGACAGCTGTAAACCATACTTTTACAAATATCGAATTCTTACATTACCCTGCATATATATATTAAAAATATGTAAATATATACGAAAATACCCGGAATTTAAAAAAACGTGAAGAAACAACTACTTATAATTTACGCAAACGGAATAAATTAACCATAGCAATCTCCCGCTTAAAATTACACTACTGGCCCATTGGCAATGTCAATAAAAAAATACAATAATCTACCAAAAAAAGATTATATAAAAACAAATAAAGAATTTATTAACTAAAAACAATTATTATACCATACAAGAATACCTAAATGAAAAACTTTAAATACAATCTAATTAAAATAGAATATTCTACTTTTGTATTTTAATTTTAATATCTACTAAATGGGTAAGTTTACAAAACATAAAGTATTTAGTTTATAAAAGAATGGAAATACTTATTACCAATATTTCAAAGCAGTGTTCTCCCTTCTCCAAATTGCTGTGCCCGACCGGGTCCATAATGATACTTTTGTTTTTTTTTTTTTGTAAACATCCAAATACTACATTGTGGAATGCAATAAAGAAATAAATACATATAATTTACTAAGAAAAATAAAATACACAATGCAACTCCATAAGTCAAAAGTCAAAGTCAAAAATCTTTATTCAAATAGACTTCTTAAAAGTACTTTTGAATTGTCTAACATTTTTCTACCACTCGTTCAGGACTTCTTTTGCAACTCATACTTACACAGTTCCGAGGCTAGTTGTCGCCTAGAGTATTATCACAGAACATACTCTGATATTGTGTTTCTTGGTTATTATTAATATATATTACGGTGTTTAAAAAATAAAAATAAGGTGTATAAACTAATATAACGTGTACAAGTAGGTAGCAAATTCTGTTTCATCAGAACCAGGTTTTTCATATGTAGAGGTAAATCAACAAGTTTTTCAACAGAAAAATATTGTCAAGAGCAACTGGAGCAATAATTAATAGGGTAGTTGACAACTTTTTTATTTTACAAATAAATAGTCAATATCCGAGGAATAATGTAGAAGTAACAGCATGTCTCTGCGATTAATAGTTTCGGAGATATTGTGCTGTGTTTGTGGAACTGCTACTCTTCCGGCCGGAGTCGGCCGAAAACTCTTCCTACGAATTCAATGAACTTAAGTGACGTAACGGTGCTACGGTAGCGATAAACGTATGGAGTCTGGGCAATTCTTGTCATATCTTTGGTCGGTAGGCAAATCTGACAGTTAACTACGGATTGTAAGACAGCTCTATCGATTTATTTATTGAAACACCTTTTTGCGCCATTTTCATACATTTTGCCTACGAACGGTTATCAGCAGCATATCAATCTGTTACTAGCATACCGTAGGTATATTTACCTATCGATGGTATGTCATTAAAACATTTTTAGCTACCATCGCTAGGAAACGCTGCGGATGGTATCAAAAACGAATATATTTTTGGTTATTGAAATTGGGGGTTAGTCGTTTATCCTAAATTCATCCACCAAGAGGCAAATAGCATAACTATATTTTTTATATATTATTAATTACCTTAATATTTCAGGTTTGCGGACAGGCGTGATAGAGACAGAAGTGACAGAGATAGAGGGGAAAGAGATAGAAATGACAGAGATAGGGAACGTGACAGAGATAGAAATAGTCGTCGCTCTGAAGAGAAATGGTAAGCTAGATAAAATTAATAAAGAATATGTATGCGAAAATATAAAAAGAAAAAGGGTTTCGTTATTTTATTACGAACATAATTGCTTTAGAATAATGTCTATGTAAATATTTTGTAATATTATTTGGGTTCCATCCGGTAGAGAATTATAAAAAAATGCGATAAATTCAAAATACTTCAATACAATGGCTATTTGTGATAACAATCACCCGTTTTCTGAATTGAGAATTTAAGGTTAAGGATGTCTCTAACCATACATTAACCATCTTAAATATAACCAAATAAACTGGTTTTTATTTCTGATTTAAAAAAAAATTAATGATCTGTTGACCGCTCGATAAAACTAGATCTGTTTGCCATGTCAAACGTAAAAAACTTAAGTTATTGAGAATAATCAGTTGAGATTTTGTACTTTTCTCAATTCAGAAACTGGCAGAATGTCTATGGTTGTTGCTAGATTTGTTGTCGATTATACATTTGTGTGTGTGCGCTTGATTTACAGCAGTTCTTGAAAATATTTACTGGGTGAGGAAGTTGCTAGACAGATATAATAGTTTTACAGTTATAGCAATGGAGTTGACACCTGAAGGCCTTTTCGCAAAATGTGTTGCTTGGGTAACTGACTTATCAGCATATCGAAAATAGTGGAGATTTCTTTTTTGTTTGTCTCCAAAACACATTTTGCGATAATTTATGATGTAACGTAGTTAGACCTTTGCACGGGAAACGAAATTATAAGAACCATACGAAATTCATTTCTAAATTTTCGTTCGAGGATAAATATAATAATGTTAATTCGTACGAGTTATACATAATATTCGCTTACTGGTTGATTGGTAGAGACTGTCTCTTTGGCATAAAGTCCGCCGTTTCTTTTACAAGATAATCAAGATTAAATAAATATAATACATATGAATGTTGTTTAGGTCGTACAGTGAGAGACATGATCGTCGGGACAGGTCGCGGTCTCGTGGCGCCGCCTTCCCTCCGCCCTCCACTTCCAGGTAATAGACAGTAATTTGTCATAAGTAATTTCTCCGATACCGATATATATTGCAATAATTTATAGGGATGCATCCCATACCGATATATATTGTGAATGCGACATCGCCTCGCTTAATTTAATTTGTTTACGTAAACGCAGTCGAATTTCGGCACTCCCACGTCAAATTTATTCTTTGACTTGCGCTGTCCATCTTAAATAGTTCATTTCGCTAGTTGCTGTGCTATGGACCAAAGTAAATGAGCAGTTTCTATATGAAATAGCAGCGGTGATGGGACCAATATACGCCAATGTCTTTCCCGTTGTCTATTGGTATATTGTACAAGTATTATATTTGATCAATTTTTGTATTTACAATGCCATACTGCTACAGAAATGCTACTGAAAAATATTCTTAATCTTTGGGTGGATTGCCTGAATATTGATGAAAATACGCTCTGTAGTAGCTAGTAAGTAACAAGTGCTTGAAAAAATTCGTCAGTTGTTAAGTCATGTCATGTCATCTCGCCTGTTAGGTCATGGATAGCTCAGTGGTTAGACTAGTTGCACGGATTGCAAAATGTCACGGGTTCGAGTCCCATCTCAAGGGCGCCAGGGACAAAGTGGATTTTTAAGCATTTTTCTTTATGAATATTGGACAAATTTTTATAATAAAGAGCAAATATAACATTTGTAACACTAATTGATTTTGCAGCTCGAATGACAGACGTGGATCACCGTCCGGTGATTACAGGCCGTCCTCCTACAAAGTCAACAAGAAACTTGAAGTAATGGAGAAAATGGGTGAGTTATGAACATATTATTTAAGGCTGATGATATTGTAGATCAAAGACTATCGTAAATTTTTTCTGATATAAATATGATTTCATTCACCAGTTACACAAACGTCCACTAAAATTGATAGTAGTGTAAAGCGACATTACCGACTGACTATATATTTTTTTAAATTCTAATGATCCCAAGTAAATGACGCTGTTCTTCATTTTTACATTTACTTTTATTGTCATTAAACATCATATTTAATCAGGATGTCTGCGCCATTCATCATAAATATATACTAATTATTACCTATATTTTATGTTACAATACAGACGATACACGCGGAGCTTTAAGCGTGAAATAATAAACTTCATGTCATTTTCCCCTTAATAGGGTATTTTAGTAATTACGAGAAAAATCTAAAAATATACAATTGCAGTTCAAAAATTGAGAAATATTTAAATCAGTTTACAAATCTTAAGTACGTTTTCTTATTGCGCGATTCAGTAGCCGCCATGATATGACGTCATTTGGTTCGTAAACAAACAAGAAAGATACAACACAGGTAAACACTTATCATCGGAAAGTTATTAGTAAATAACGACACCTGAGATTTGTAGTAACAAATCTCGATTTTTGTCCTGCTGTTTTACGGAATATTTAAACATTGATGTAAGTACTCTCTTCTTACAACTATTTGAAAAAGTGCATGATAATGTCAGAAACCAATAGCAGCGAGTTTGTTATCAAAACCAAGTGATGTCACAATTACAAACTAACATGGCGGTCAGCATTGTCGTCCGATTCGAGTTATTTGAAAATATAAAATTTAGATGTAATTTTATGACACTTACTGACTAAATAAAAATTTTCAATTTTTTCCATGGTTTATTATGACCTTAAGACTGAATTGACTTTACTTTTTAAAAATAGTTGTAATACCCTACTATAATAATCCTCAATAAAAATGAAGAAAGAAAAACCATCTGTCATCGCTCACTGTTCACTAACGTGAGTAAAAATAATATAATAAAAAGGTTATCGTAAATACATCATGTGTATGTAAGTCCCACTATTTGTCCCAAATCCTCATTCTTGGTCTCTCCTGATTCTGATCCTTTGAGCTGGATTACTCCTGTAAATGATACGACCGCTTGTTTTTAGCACACTAACATTTAATCATTTTATTTTATAATCTATTTTAATACATACAAATATATAGTATTCCAAAATTTATAGTTAAATAAAATCAAAGGGTATAATAAACCTGGTATCAAAAGCTATTTACATATTAGAGCACAGTTAGTCGTGAACAACTCCTGTAATCCGCCGGCAGGATACTGATTTAGCCGCAAATGGAGATTTGGGTAAGATCATCCCCCTCTTTTGTCTATATTTTTACGTGTTGTGTACGTTGTGCAGGGCTGCAGATAAAGACCCCAGACGGTAGTATGGCGACCGCGCAGCAGCTTCGGGCCGCCGCCGGAGACTCTGGGGCTCCGAACTATACGCCCATACCCGCCTCCGCCAAACTGCTCGACCAGGTATCTACATTGCTCGGAAACTTTAATTTACTATATTGAAATAAAAAGTCGTATATTGAAATTAGATTTAAAATTTTTATTCACTAATTTAAAAATATAAAAAAGTAAAACGTTTGGTTTGTTTTACTAAATTTCTGGTAGCACAGCCTCGATCTTCTTCAACTTTATATCTAATAATTACGGAATTATATTATTATATTTTCTATATTTGATATTCATCTTAGGAAAAAATTGCAGTTCTACCGCGTAACACAAGCTTTAGTTAATCTAACAAAATGAAGCCCTAAATTTTCCCATCATAATGAAATATAATTACGTTAAGTATAATTGTTGTTTGACAGCTGCAGAAACGCAAGTTGCTGTGGTCCAACAAGGGCAAGAGTGAGGCCGAAGAGGCAGCCAAGTGGACCGGCGCAAGATTCGCGCAGGACAACGACGGCAAGCAGGCCTCCAAGTTCATGAGACTAATGGGTATCAAGGAGCCCGGTATGTTACATATCATCAGTGTTATAATCTCCCTGTTAATGGTCATTAGATCTTCCCATACACAGTAACGCATAACAAAATTTTAAATCTTGTCTTTATTCAGGATTGAAATTGTCATTTATTGTGTTGTTTTGAATATTTGCTACTTTAACACTTTTATCAAAATGAATTTGTATAAAATTATATGCCATCTGAGAAGCTTTCCTAGCTTCATACAGATATGAATGTTCTAATCGATTCCATCAAAGGTGCCCTGTGCAGTGTAAAATTTGATTTTCTATAGTTATCATAAAAAAAAACCGTTCGACTTCCTAGAAACTTGATTTTTATCCCAAAAATTATGTCAGTTGACTGTTTGATATTTGTCATTATATACCTAGTATCTTTGTAAGTTGCATGTAGAAAGAAATATTTGAAATTATTTTTTATTATGAGTATGTGTGCTATTTTTAACAAAATCTATTTTTACTAACAGCGGCTGTGAAACCTGAAGTTCCTACTGCAGACCCGATCAAGAAACAAGAAGAATTGTTCCAAGCAATGCAAGCACAGTATGATGTAGCCAGAGCCACCACGCACACTATGAGAGGAGTTGGGCTTGGTTTCCAGCGGGGACAGTATTAATCAATACAACCTCTTGACTTACTGAGTGCTCGCTCTAAACTGATAAACATAGTGTCTACTAAAACATGAAAAATGTAAGATTGTTCTTGTGAATGGCTGTGTTATATGTTAATGGTGTGGAAAGTGCAAGTGACTGAAACTAAAGATATATATGAGTTGTTTTGGAGTACTGTGAATAGTGGCCTCTGTTGCTGGTCAAAGTGAATAATGATGATAAAAATTTACCCTAAACGTTTGGGAAACTTTTGGAATCTGCATCACCATTTACTTCACAAAGCACATGTTACCATCAATAATTGGTAAAATTATAATGGTACCTGTATTCAACATGCTATTAAAGGGTTAATCAGCATTGTTGTAATTCTACAAAATATAGAAAAATAAAAACTTACAATCACATATGTTAATGCAACAATGATGTAAACTAGAATGCTATAAAATAGACATTGGGATTGCGTGCGAAGGAAGACTTGTTAGTATTATAAGATATAATGGCCATGCACATGAAATTGGCAGAATCGTGCAAAACGTGCAGATAAGCCATTAAGAAAAGAAAAATTGGATAACCTATAGATGACATTAAGTTTTTACACACAGGTTACTCATTGGTCTCTTTAATCTAATCTTGAAAACCAACCCCCAATCAAACGAAGTTTGTCTTGTCTTAAGTGTAGTATAAGAATTATTCTTCTTCGTATATTAATGGTCTATCTGCGCGTTTCGATACAATATTCTGCCAATGTCAAGTGATCGAATTGGATAAATTAAATTAATTTCTACATAATAAATTAAAAAAAAAATCAAGAATTATTCAAATATCGTCAACATCATGTCAGGTTAACAAATCTGTCAAATTTCTCTACTTGATTTTAAATTTTAATGCATTTTGAGTAGAATTTAAATTCAGCAGCGGTGATATGACAGTGTGCTAACCTGACATCAGCATGTGTAAAGTAGCTCTATTTATTGATTTATTCTAATTTTAGTGATAGTTTCAGTATATCAACTAAATTCCTTCTAATAATGAAGAATTTTAGGGATATCTTCCTCTCTGCAAATGATTTAGTATATGTGATATATGTTTTTATTTTGTAGTGTAATCATTAATAACATTAAAATATTGTTGATTATTTGTATAACTAGCATAATATCATAATAAAATATTATCTTTTATATATTGACGTTTTATTGGTAGTTTACGAAGTGCTGTTGTATATTTTTTAACACCTTTGCTCGTAAAGCTGATGTAATTCCACCGGTTTTAAATAGGTATGTAAAGCGGGGTTTCCATACAAATTCCATAACAGTATTATTTGCAATTTCGCGCGCTGTTGCTATTCAAATTTCGAACTTATCGCCGCGCGGCGCCAGTCAGTAGGCAGCTCTAGCGCGCTGTTAAAATGGCGGGAAAGCAACAGTGTACGTTCACAGCCAATGAGTTTAGAGTCTGGCAAGCGAAACGTGTCACAAGAAAAGGGCGGCAATTTCAAAAATTCTTAAGCAGTAAACACTGAATGTAGTACTGCAAAATAATTTTGATACTTTTATTAATTACTAGTGGACGCCCGCGACTTCGTCCGCGTGGAAGTCGGTATCCCGTGGGAGTGAGAAGTTTTCCCAGTAAAAAGTACCCTATGTGTTATTCTGATGTATAACCTATATTGCTGTAAAGTTTTATCCAAATCCGTCCAGTAGTTTTTTCGTGAAAGAGTAACAAACATCCATACATCCATACTTACAAACTTTCGCCTTTATAATATTAATAGGATATTTAATCTTAACATTTAGATATCAATTAAAATTATTTGTTTTGGAACATTTGACTAAAGCGTGACTGTTCTTAATTGCATATCATAATTGCATACAGTTAACAGCATATCAGTAGGCCTATTCACTAACTCAACTGACAACCAAGAATCGTCATCACCGTAAAAAATAGACACTTTGATTGTGTCAAAATCACTATTTCGTATTCTCTATCAATGATGAGCAATTTCGAAATGTCAATATCGGCATTCTCCACTGGACTCCATTTTGACACTTGATTTCGTATCGATAAACTGTATTAAAGTAACATTGTTGCAAAGCATATTTGAAGTCGTCGCATAGTACCTCTTAAGCCATTTGTTGTTAAATTAAAGCGAAAAAAAATACGTATCCAATATTTTTCTATTATCTGACTGACGGACTAAATCGAATCTTTTTTTTAACCCATTCGTTATACCTATTGGCTAACAGCACTTATAATATTAAAAATTCATATTTGTCATTAATTAAAAGGGTGTTTTTTGCAACGACTTCTTTGTTTTTTTGTAATGAATATGGGCGACTCTGGCCACATTTTTTTAATAAATGTGATGTTAGCCAATTTTGATTTCTGGCCCTTATATTTATAATGTGTTCATAACACATACATGTCTCCTAAGGGATTTTCATCACAACCTTTTGCTCTGATCCAGAACCACTATCTATCAAATTAAATTAGTCAATATAAACACCAGATTACAATAAAAAAAACATTTATTTTTGTTACAATTAAGTGCCATGGATAAATTACATAATACAGGTGTCACAAAATCATCATGTTAATCACAATAGAAAATTTAAGATAAGATTTTGACTATGAATCAGACTAAAAATACTTTAGTCTGATTCATAGTCAAAATCTGTTTCTAAATATTCTACACCTGATAACAATGACAAGGAATCATCAGAGTCACTCTCTTCACTACTGTCTGCACCAACAGATATAATAAATTTTTCAAGTTCGTTTTCAACAATGCCATCTTTTAATTTGTAATCATTTTCGACATTTAAAACATGATCAGTGTATTTCTTCCAGTCACTAGGGGTAATTAAGTTAAAACACTCTATTATTAAGTTTTCCATTTCCTTTCCTGGTATTCCAATGTTTCTGCTTGCAATTTTTCTTTTTGCTTGACTCCAAACCATCTCTATTGGGTTTAAGTCACAATGATACGGTGGCAGCAATAAAAGTTCATGATTATGTTCTTATAAAATCTCTTCAGCTTCATATACAGGCAATGTTTTCTTATCATTAACCAAACACATTAACTCTGCCTTTGTCTGATATTCCTCAAAATGTATTCCATTATTTACAAGCCATTTACGGATATCTGCTTTGGTATTAGACATTATAGGCGGTTTATTGATTTGTTTTATATGGTAGCTGGCATTATCCATAACAATTACACTGGGCTTACTTAAATTTGGTATTAATTTTTCTCTGACCCATTTCATAAAGTTCGATGAGTTCATATCATCATGATAATCAGCAGATTTGGATTTACTACTGAACACTAATAATGCACCAGGCACAAAACCTTCCTCAGATCCAGCATGCACAACAATATGCCGTTTTCCAGAGGATATCTTTGTAGTGACACCAGTTGTTGAAGGTCCTTGCCAAGACTTTTTAACTTTATAATTCTGATGTACATAAGTTTCATCAAGGTACACAATTTGCTTTCCTTCGTTTCGTTTTATATTTATTTCTCTCAAATACTTGTGCCTCCATGCAGAAATCTGGTATTTTTCTATAAGCATAGAACGTTCATTTTCATTGCTTTTAAAAGAAAATCCATTCTTAAGCATAATTTTTCGTAAAGTCTCACGGCTACCACTGAATCCTATTGCATCTTTTAATTCATTGTGAAGGCTTCTTAATGTTGGAACAATTTTTTTCACACAGTAAAATTCATTTACTTTATTCCGAATTGCACTTAAATCAAAATTATCTAAAGCAGACACTGTTGGTTGATGAGGTCGTTTTTTCCCAGGAGTGTCCCATTTTCCTTTATTAATTAATGCTTCATTTTTTATCCTTCTTAGTGTCCTTATACTTACATCTATAAAAGATTAAACACTTTGAAACAAAGATATGTTAAATGTATTTAAAAGCAAATAATGATAGACACATACATCAAAATAATTTAAATACCTATTCAACTATGAATGCAATTTATGTTTAATTTAGTTAAGTTTATGTGCATATTTAGCATGTATAACAATTACATGGTTTGATTAGTTTCATGAATTCTGTGAATTTCCTTGTTAAACAAAACATTCTTATGACATCATTGGATGTCAACAATAAAAACCAATACATCATAAAAAACCTATGTAAATATTATAGGAATACTATCAATCTATCTTAAATCAAAACAAGAAAAGAGACCTGTCATTGAAGAAATTTTTTGTAAGTACTGCGTTTCCGAATTCAGCATTTCTTGTTTTTCTAAAGTTTTTATTGCATTTATCTCCTCCATTATTGGTTGAATATCACCATCACAGTTATCTGAAATAGAGCAATATTTTATAAAAAATATCTGTTTAGTTAATTACAGAAAATTAAAACGAAAGTATCAAAATTATAATACAAAACTAACCTAAAAAAGATACAACTTTATCTAATCGTTGTAATTTCTCCATGAAATTTTTATTTAATTCAGTTTTCACTTCAGTAAACTTGTCAATCATGATGGAAAGAAGTTTCCTCGATGAACTTTTTATCGGCTTCGACATAATTTTTAACCAAAAACACAAGTTCAAATTCGCAAAAACAACAAAATTCAATATTCTTGAATTGTCTAACGTAGTGTCAAACTGACAGTTCTATGTTGTTGCCATATGAAAACGGAAAAATAGGTGGTGTCACGTTTCGCTTGCCAAACTCTAATAACTAGAGAAGCAATTCCATACAACAGACGCGCCAAAAAGCGTAGCACTTTCCCGAAATCAGGACGTAGCTTTGCAAATAATATTTATACTATATAATATAAATAGGATTATTATATTTGTCTCTCTCATATCTACGATTAAACCTTAAATTAAACAAAGACAGAATATGTGCGAACGATAGAATGAACGGAAAAATGGGTATTTTTTTTTTTTTTTTAATTTATTTCTTAACCTGGATACAAGTCCATCAGTTGCATACATATTAAAAATTGAATTACATATTCAAAATAAGAGAACAAAAAATAATGAAAAGGAAAATAATTTCCAACATATTAGAAGCTATTTACAAAGTTTGGAATAACATTATCTGATGACAATTCTTATTATTATTATTATTTTCTTTTTAAAATTATAACAAATAGATATTAGAACATTTAAAAACAACTGATTAAAATCTAATTAAAAGTTTTAAATCTTTTCAATAGTATTTACAAGGTTTTAAATCTTTTCAATGGTATTTTCTATGAATATGTACAGCGACTTAAAAAATTCAGGGTTACTTAATAATTCTTGAACGCGGCGGGGTACACTGTTTAGTTTTAGTCGTTCACAGATGTCACTAACGTCACATGTCAACGTTAACCGTTGAATATTGAAATTTGGACA